AGTAGCAATAATAATGATAATAATATTAGCCGTAGCCGTGGTAGTAGTAGTAATAGTAGTAGTAGTAGTAGTAGTAGTAGTAGCAGTAGCAGTAGCAGTAGCAGTAGCAGTAGCAGTAGGAGTAGTAGTAGTAGTAGTAGTAGTAGTAGTAGTAGTAGTAGAAATAGAAGTAGAAGTAGAAGTAGTAGTAGTAGCCGTTGCAGTGGTAGCTGGTACTAGTTCTAGTACTAGTTCTCGTACTAATACTAATTCTCATCCTAGTAGTAATCGTCGTCGTAGTAGTAGAAAGGCAAAGAGGGGGAGAAGGGAGGAAAAAGGAGGAAGTGAGGAGGGAACGAGGGAGGACGAGGACTGCCATGGAATTGGGAGAAGGAGGGAGGCAATGGAGTGGGGAGGACTCCGGAGGAGTGCTGAGGAGTGCAATGGAATGGGGAGGGAAGGAGAGAGGAGAGAGGAGGGACGAGCGTGGAACGTTTTGGAACGTTTTGCCAACCAACGTCGTGCAGAAGGAGGGAGGGTGGGAAAGAGGGCGGAGGGAGTAGTGCGATGGAGTGGGGAGGACTCCAGAGGAGTGGGGAGGAACGCCTAGAAGCAAGATGGAGGGAGTTCCGAGGAATGGGGAAGGATGCCGACGAGTACGGTGAAGTGCGGAAAGGTACAGAAGAGTGGGGAGGCGTGCGGAGAGGGGGAAGAATGGAGTGAAGTGCGGAGGAGTGCCGAGTGCGATGGAGTGCGGAGGAATGGGAGGCTCTGGAGGGCTCCTTGGAGGGCTCGTTGGAGGCCTCCTTGGACGGCTCCTTGGAGACTCTGAAGGCCTCGGAGAGTCCAAGAGGCTCTTCGGCTGCTCCAAGAGGCTCCTCGGAGAGCCCACGAGGCTCTCTGGCGGCTCCAAGAGGCTTGTCGGTGGCCCCCAGAGGCTCTTCCGAGAGGCTCTTCGGTGAAGGGGGGGAGGAGGCTCTTTGGAGACTCCCCCCCCCTTCACAGTACTCGTTCATTAACACCCTCCGGAGAAACCGTGGCCATACTAACACACACCGGGCCGCACTAACAACCAACGGGCCACAATAACACCATCTCCCCCCTACCCCCCCCCTCCAGAAAACCGGGGGGGGTCACTACTAGTTCGAACCCCCACCCTCCGGAAAACCGGGGGGGGGGTCACTACCGGTTCGAACCCCCCACCCCCAGTCCATCATGAAAAAAGGAGGGGTCACTACGGGTTCGAACCCCCCACCCTCCGGTAAACAGGGGGGGGTCACTACCGGTTCGAACCCCCCACCCCCAGTCCATCATGAAAATGGGGGGGGTCACTACCGGTTCGAACCCCCCCCCCCCCCCTCGAAAACCGGGGGGGCACTACCAGTTCGAACCCCATCCCCAGAAAACCAGAAGGGGGTCACTATCCGTGCGAACCCCTCCCGCCCCCCCCCCTCCAGAAAACCGAGGGGGGGTCACTACCAGTTCGAAGCCCTCCCCCACCCCCCGCTCACCGCCGGCGAACGACTCCCGGGTCCTTACCACCGTCCGCACCACGTCCCGCACTGCTGTCCCCAGCACCACTGTCCTCACCACCACTGTCCCCACTGTTCCCACCGCCGTCCCCACTGTCCCCACCAGTGCCCCCGCCACTGTCGCACTCTCCCCACTGTCCCCACCACTGATCCCACCACGGTCCCTCTCTCCCCACTTTCCCCGCGGCCCCAACCACTGTCCCACTGTCCACACTGTCCCACTGTCCCCGCCGCTGTCGCACTGGGCTGTCCCACTGTTCCCACCACTGTCCCCACTGTCCCCACCACTGTCCCCACTGTACCTCTGTCCCATTGTCCCACCGCCGTCCTCGCCACCGCCCTCACCACTGTCCCCACCAACACTGTCCCCACCACTGTCCAACTGTCCCCACCACATTCCTACTGTCCCCGCACCACTGTCCCCCCCACTACCGTTCCCACCACTGTCCCACAGTCCCCACCACTGTCCCACTGTCCCCACTGTTCCCACCATTGTCCCCGCTGTCCCCACCAGTGCCCCCAACCAGTGTCTCACTGTCCCCACTCTCCCCGCCATTGTCCCACCACGGTCCAACTCTCCCTACTTTCCCCACAACGGTCCCCACCACTGTCCCACTGTCCCCACTGTACCCAACACTCCCCACTGTCCCCACCACTGTCGCACTGTCCCCACTTTCCCCACTGTCCCCACCACTATCCCCACTGTGCTACTGTCCCACCATTGTCCTCACCACCGCCTTCACCACTGTCCCCACCACTACCGTTCCCACCACTGTCCCACTGTCCCCACCACTGTCCCGCTGTCCCCTCACCACTGTCCCCACCACCACCGTCCCCACCACGGTCCCCACCACTGTCCAACTGTCCCCGCACCACTGTCCCCACCACCACCGTTCCCACCACTGTCCCAGAATCCCCACCATTGTCCAAGTGTCCCGAGGAGCAGGAATCTTTTGCCGGCGGCAAGGGGGGGGGGTCGAACTGGTAGTGACCCCCCCCCTTTTCTTGATGGACTGGGGGGGGGTCGAATCGGTAGTGACCCCCAGTGACCCCCTCAGGCTTCCCGCCAGCAGCGGTAGATCACGCTCTTTCAAATCAACGAAACCCTGTGTTTTCATTTGGATGTTTGTGATTTTTTGGATTGGGGAGCCCTACGACAACACCACCGCCGCTGATCTCCCTGGTCGGCGCTCTCATAATCCCAAACATCGAAATGAAAACACATGGTGTGCGAGGTCAGGGGTAAGGAAACCCTGTGGAATCATTTGGAGGAGGAGGAGGAGGAGGAGGAGGAGAAGTACTGCGCGGGGTGTCCAGAAAAAGGAAAAAACTTAGAATGTGGGCGGGAAGTAGGAACTCCGACGGAAGGACCCAACATGATAATCCTCTCGGCTAATCTGGAAATAACCATTATCGTCGTCCGTGTGATTGGTGAGGCGCCCTTGTTGTCTCCTCTGCGTAGTTCTCCTTCTCGCCCCAGCACAGGATCCGGTGACGACGATTACAGGATATAGGAACATGCTCTGCGGGCCCCATAGGGAGGAGGCTCCCGCCTGAGACTCCCTCGCACTTCATTCACGGACGAGGCTCCCGCACGAGAGATCCTCCAGATTCAAGGCCCAGGGGCCCGAAAGTGACGACAACTACAAGATTCGGATGACACGCTCGGGTTAATATCATGATCTGCGGGCCTCATGGTGCGGGGGTGGACTCAAAACTGAGACGCCCTCGAAGTTTATTCACACGAGGCTTCCTCCAGACTCAAGGCTCAGGGGCCCCAACGTGACGACGGTTACAGGACTCAGCTGACCCGCTCGGATTAGTAACATGATCTGGCTCAAGCCTGAGACTTCCTCGCATTTCACTCACGGACGCGGCTCCCTCACGAGACTTTCTTCAGAGTCAAGGCTCAGGCGCCCGAACGTGACGACAGTTTCAGAATTCTGGTGGCCCGCTCCGATGAATAACGTGATCTGCGGGCCCCATGGGGGGGGGGGGGGGGCTCCCGCCTGAGACGTCCTCGCCACTCACGGACGAGGCTCCCACACGACACTTCCTCCAGATTCAAGGCTCAGGGGCCCGACCGTGACGACAGTTACAAGACCCAGATGGCCTGCTCTGATTAGTAACATGGTCTGCGGGCCCCATAGGGAGGGGGCGCCCGCCTGAGCTGTCCTCGCATTTCGCTCACGGGCGAGACTCTCGCACGAGACTTCCTCCACATTCAAGGCGCAGGTGCCCGAACATCACGACTGTTACAGGGTTTATATGACCCGCCCCGACTAATGACATGATCTGCGGGCCCCATGGGGAGGGGGCTCCCGCCTGAGACTTCCTCGCATTCCGCTCACGCACGAAGCTTTCGCACGAGACCTCCTCCATAGTCAAGGCTCAGGGGCCCGAACACGACGACTGTTACAGGGTTTGGATGGCCCGCTCCGATCAGTAACATGACCTGCGGGCCCCATGGGTAGGAGGGCTCCCGCCTGAGACTTCATCGCACGTTACTCCTGGACGGGGCTGTCGTTCGAGACTTCCTTGAGATAAGCGTATGTTCGTGCGTGCGATGATGATGATTATGAACATCGTGATGTGAAAGCGGCGATGGTGACGACAAGATGGTGATAACAAGCGAGACGTTGACCTTGATGATGGTGATGCTGATGATTAGATGGATGCGTGAGAGGCTGATCGTGTGTAGTGAGTGTGTGACTGATGATGCTGGTGTGAGTGATTGAGTGAATGATTATGATGGTGTGAGTGATGATGAGGAAGCGGGTGCTGTGACGATGATGATGATGATGGTATGTGAGCGATTGAGTGAATGCTTGGGCGAAGTGAGACGAGGAGAGGGGAAGGAGAAGGAAGAGTACTGCGCGTGGTGTCTAGAGACAACAGTAACCTCACTTCGGATGTGGGGAAACAGAGAGAAAGGGAGACAGAGAGAGGGAGGGGAAGGCTCAGTGGAAGACATAGGGAAGATGGAGGAGAGATGCAGGAACAGGGGGAGTGAGCTGGGAGCATCGAGCAGCTAGGGGGGGAGGTGTAGGAGGGGTTTAAGAAGGAGGGGGTGCAGAGGAAGGAGGAATGAGGAGCGAAAAAGGAATGGGAGAAGGAAGAGGGAGAAGGGATGGAGGAGTAGAAGGAGCAAGAGGGACAGAAAAGGGGAGGACGGGGAGCGAGATGGGTGATGGGGGGGGCGAGATGGAGCTGGACAAAGAGATGAAAGACGAGGATCAAAAGGGCACAATCAAGCAGCATTGACACGAAACATCGGATCGACTCTTAACTCGTGTCAGATCGGGCCGCATCGGCACGGACTTGACCTCGGATCGGATCGGCCACGCCAGGATGAACAACGACGCCATGCGAGCCTCGGGTCGCAGCGGATCATCCGAATATCAGAACCGAATAGGATCGGGCCAGCCGAAAGCGAGATCGAATAGAGGATTGAATAGAGGAAGTATGAGGTCAAACACTGCCCGACGATCAGAACGCCACCGCTCGCTTGGCCACGACGTGCGTCGCCTGGGTACGGAATGCAAAAGGAATCACAACATGGAGGAGGAGAGGTATGACAAGCAGAAGGGGGAATAAGCACTTCGGGATCCGACAATTTCGGTCAGCAAGACATTATACGTAGCTTTCAGATGGAATAGAAGGCATGGCAACGAACAGAAAGTCAGTGCACGTGGTACACGGTGCACGTACGAGGCACGGGAGGCATAGCAGAGGGCGAGGGAGCATGCACAGGAGGAGCGGGAAGTTAAGGGTCAAGGGTACAGAATGAAGGTAGGGAACATTTCGAAAATCGAGGGGAACGGAAGGGGGGGATAGCAAAGGGTAGGGTAGAGAATCGGCTCACGTAGCTGATTTTCCCAGCGCCTCCCGGCGCCCATGTATCGAGGAATGGGCCCGGCGGCGGGGCCGAATTCAGCTGCATGCAGCAGATGTTGTAACCCCCCCTTCCCTATCCCCTCCTTTCGTTCGGCCGAGAAAAGGGGAGGGAAGAGGTGCACGAAGTGCATGATAGAACGGGGGTAACTCATCATCTCTTAGGGCTGCCGACTCGTTTGCGGGAATTTCGACCACTATGATTGTTTTATCCGTGTGTTGCGCGCTGGGAGGCCCTCGCGCGCGACGCCCGTGCGAGTTTGGCACGCGCGCTGGCCGACCCTACAGACACATCAGCGGCGCACAACATTCCTGCAGGCGGCCGCCAGGCCCTAGAATCCCGCTGCCAAGCGACTCGTCGCGGGAAAGCACGATGCACTGGGAAGGGCCGGGGGGGCGGGCATCGCGAGAGATAGGGGGGGGAACTCGCGCGGACAAGGTTCGCCCTGTCACAGGGCCGGCCTCCTGGCGGAGCCGCACCCCGCTAGCCGGATTTGCTGGGCAACCTTCTGGGCCGCCTTTTGGAGTTCACGCTGAGGTTCTGGCCACAATACCTTCAGGTGGTCGCAATGCCGGTCGCAATTCTGGTCACAGTTCCAGCCGCAGTCCTGCCTGCATTTGAGCTAGCGCGGCGGGCACGCGGCCCCGCCAACAAATGACTGGCGGCGTTCCGAGCCGCCCCCTGCCAGCAGCCAGCAAGTCCGACGGGTGGAAGTAGCGGCAGGGGCAGATTGCACAGGACAAGACAAGCAAGGAAGAAACGGCAGATCGGAGGGGTCAGGAGAAAGAGAACATGAACAATCTCGCCGCACTCGCACCGCACCTGCCACCACGTCCACGCCGTCCCACCCTATGATGAAGACCGTCACGGACTGCTAGCGACGCTGAGTCTGTCGAGCCCAAGAGCGCCAAACTGTCGAGCCCCAGAGCACCCAAAGGCACCGACAATGGATTGCAGTCGGACCCCCAGACATGAAATACGGATGAGCCGCAGGATGATAGGGGGTGAGGAGGAGTGGATCCTGACATCCTCGCGTCGTGAAGACGAAGATCTCGGCGGATTGATGTGGTTGTTTCATCATGCGGCATCCGCGGGCCCTTGCAGCGGGCCCCGGGACTGTTTAAAAAATGACTTAAGGTGTCAAACCGGTCCTTGGGAAGGAGTCCAGACCTCTGCGGGACCAGACAGCTGAAACAAAACACGACGTCGGATGCCTGGGGAGTAGCAGGAAGGCAGAGGGGGAGAGAAGCGGCAGTTGGATCAGGAGGGAGAGGAAGGACGGACAGGCAGGATGAGCAAGATCAGAAAGGAAGGGCGAGGCGCAGAACAAGCAGGACGGTGAGGAGAGACTGGGAGGGAGCTGCCAAAGAATGAGTGGCTGAAAGCGAGACGGGGAGGGAAACAAAAAGGAATCGGAGGCGGAGGGAGACCCGGAGGGGGTGCGGAATGGGGAAAACGAGGACAAAGACGAGTTGCAGGACGAACAGTGGGCGAGGGGTGGAACGGGAAAATGAGGAAAAGGACGGCAATGGAGGGAAAGGAGGAGGAAACAGAGGAAGAGAGATAGGCGTGGCGAGGGAAAAGGGATGATGAAAAGGAGGATATAGGAGGAGGAGGAGGAGGAGGAGGAGGAGGAGGAGGAGGAGGAGGAGGAGCAGCATAAAGGTCATTGCAGAAAGAACAGCAGCAAAGAGAAGGTTGGATGGGAGCGAAAGGCAGGAGGGTTAGGGGCAGGACTATGGCGCAAGCAGGGGACGGATAGCAGACGACATAACGAAACCCGCAACGGCGATGATCATCGCAACTTCAACGAGAAGACTGGTGACGGCGATCGCGACGGCGATAGTGAAAAGACAAGCTGTCTGAGGTCCGCGTGGATGTTTGGACCGGCGCTGGTCACCCTCCCCTGCGCGCGGAGCGCGCCAGGGCAGCGCCGAAGGCACCACCAGGACGCCAAGAGGGTCCAGCGCCGACCCAAGAAGAAATCCGCACGAACTTCCGTACGTCTGGATCTCTGCGATGTGTACTTCTTCGAGCACAGCCAATCTCTCCCTTTCTGGCTACCTCCTCGCCGCACTCTCGGCACATGTCAGCTGAAATGGGCACCGACACCAACACAGGGGGTTGCCTCCACGGGGGGAAGAAGATCCTAGATTTCGGTGTTGGTGGTAATATTTCGGCCACCTTGAAGCCAGAATATTACTACCTGCACCGAGATCGGGATCTTCTTCCCTCGGTGGCGGCACGCCGCCGATAGTGGTGTTGATGTCAACCTCTGGGCCTGCGAATCGTGTTCTTCCACGGAAGGGGGGTGCTGCTTGGATGCGGGTATTGAAGCCGACCCCCGGGACCACGCCCAGGACTCCGAGGCGGACCCGGCCGTGGGGACGGACGCGCCCCAAGAGGCCCCAGAGGAGCACGAACAACGTCCGAGCCCCTCTGCCCTCGAAGTCCGAACCTGGCCCTCCCCGCGGCGAGGCGAAGGGGGCGCAGCGGCTCAGCGGCAGCGGGGGCGCTCGCGTCCAGCGAGGGGTCGTCGTCCACCAGCCTGCCGGGCCCCCAGGCAGGGCCCCCCTCGAGAGCAGAAGGACGACCCCGACATCCTGGCGCCGAGCAGAACTCGCGACGCTCTTGCTCATCTCTGTTCGCCACCCGGGGCCCCGCAGGGCACCCAGACCGTCAAAATGGAAGACGGGGTCCAGTCACCCTACAGGCGGCTTTTCGAAGACAAATGTGAGTAGTCAAAACATGCCCCAACATGTTCAAAAACTACTAGAAAAGTCGTCCCAACACTATTTCTTTACTATTTTTGAATGTTTCTCCTGTAGGGGGAACGGCCCGACTTAAACCTATGGAGAACGACGCTATGAAAGCACCACGACGCCTGACGTCTGGGGACGGCCGCGACGACGAGGGCGACGGCGGCTGCGGCGGGGCGCCCAGGCGGGCCTCTCGGGAGGACGGCGGCCTGGATTCTGGGCGCCCCGAACAGACATCAGGGCGGCCAGTCTCGGGGGCGCGCAAACATGGATTGGCGGTCCATGGATTTGGCGCGCGGTCGCCGCATCCATGGATCGGGGGAGGTGCCCTCCCCGAAGAGGCGGCCGGTGCCGCCTCGCTCGGCGGCGGAAATCCGCGACTTCCCGTGGAGACGGGACCCGTCGCTGATCCTAACGCCCCCTCCTCGTCCACGTCTGCGATCGCCTATGACAGGCTGGTCCGTCGCCGCTCGCTTCGCTTCCCGAGAAGCCGGTCTCGGACGCCGGGGCCGTCCGAAAGCAGCCGCTCGGGGCGGGAGACGGGCCGGGGGTCGAGGGGTCCAGAGCCTGGCTGGCACGGAAGGTGCACTGCATCACATCGCTGACGCTCCTGAACGGCTTACTGGGGTCCTCCTCCTCCTCCTCCTCCTCCTCCTCCTCCTCCTCCTCCTCCTCCTCCTCCTCTTCCTCCCCCTCCTCCTACTAGTCCTACTCCGGCTCCTCCCCGCCTGGAGGAGGAGGATGTTTACGGCACTGCGAGCCCAGGTCAAGGTATGGCTAACGTAAAACGAGGTGGAGAATAAGTATGAAGAGATCCAGAGGCCCACGCGTCGGAACAGTCGAAGCGCTGGAAATCTTGGAAGAGGACGGCAGCGGTGGCGGCTAGACATTTCTGGAGGTTCTCCACCTCGCGGCTGGACGCGGCTCGTGAGGTCGCGTGCCCAGGAAAGCGTCTGGGGCCAATCTTGAGTAGATACCTCTTAGATGGGGTCCGCGCAGGTGGAATCGGATGATGCATCGGCGACGTCGGCGATGCATCGGCGCCGTCGGCGTGGAGGATATCGAACTCTACATCGAGCCGCATCGATGGTGCGTAGGCGATGCGTAGGCGATGCGTAGGCGATGCAGCGTGATCCGCCGACCCCCATCTGCTCGGGCCCCACCTGGGAGGCCTGGATTGAGCGGATTCCTTATGGCGACTAACGATGACCAAAACGACGAGGACGACATCGAGGACGAGGACGAAATCGACATGGACGAGGACGAAAACGAGGGCGATGATAGGATGAATAAGGAAAAAGTGCATTTCGCCCCTCCTAGGCCTCGTGGGAAGGCCCCAAAACCGCGGCTGGACTTCCCGCGAAGTACTGATCAGAGCGCGGTCTGGAGATCCGTTCCGAAGGGGAGGTGGAGTGGAGGAGAAGCAAGGGAGGAGAGGAGAGGAGATGAGGGAGCAGAGATGGAGAGAGGAGAAGAGGAGAGGAGACGAGGGCAGCAGCTGGCGCTGTTTGACTGCCCCCCTGGGGTCCACGGTGCGGGCTCCGGGGAGCCTTGCGGCACGTGGCCAACGGCGGCAGGCCTTGCGACACGTGGCTCCGGGTCAGAAACTCCCCCCAGGGGAGGGGGGGGGGGCGGGACGCGTCGCGGAGCAGCCAGGGCCGTCGGAAGCCTGGGCACCTCGGGGCACCTCCGGAGGCGTGCGGAGAAGCCAGGGGCACGTCCTGGCCTGCAGGCACCTCCCCAGCCTGCGGGCCCCACGCGCGCCGACGCGGACCCGCGGGCCACCCACCCGGCCTTGCCTCGCCTTCCTTTCCGGGCTGCGGCCTGTTCCCCATGGGCCAAATCCTGAGGTACGACGCCCCCGCCCCGGCATCGACGGCCTATAGACCCTGCGGGGTGTTGGCACAAGGCGCGGAGTGGTCGTTACCCCAAGGGGTACAACCACCTACGGATAGCTCAACGGATAGCTTAATTCCCCTCGCCGCGGCTGGGCCCCATCGAGGCCCGAGGCCCAGGGTCCTGGTCAGAGCGCAATCCAGGACCGCAATCCAGGACGGGCCTGGTGTGTGCGTGTGTGTTGGTGCTTGTGGTTGTGTGTTTGTGTTTGTGTTTGTGTTTGTGTGTTTTGTGTTTGTGGTTGTGTTTGTGTTTGTGTTTGTGTGTGTGAGTGTGTTTGTGTTTGTGTTTGCGTTTGCGTTTGCGTTTGTGTTTGTGTTTGTGCTTGAGTTTGTGTTTGTGTTTGTGTGTTTGTGTGTGTGCTTGTGTGTTGTGTGTGTGGTTGTGTGTGTACGTGTGTGCGTGTGCGGGGTTATGTGCGTGTGTGCGTCTGTGTGTGCGTGTGTGCGTGTGTGTGCGTGTGTGTGCGTGTGTGCGTGTGTGCGTGTGTGCGTGTGTGCGTGCGTGCGTGTGTGCGTGCTTGCGTGCGAGAGCGCGTGCGCGTGTGCGTGCGCGTGTGTGTGTGTTGTGTGTGTGTGTGTTGCGTGTGTGTGTGTTATGTGCTGTGTGTGTCGTGTGAGTGGTGTGTTGTGTGTGTTGTGTGGTGTGTGTTGTGTGATGTTATGTGGTGTGTGGTGTGTGGCGTGGGTGTGTGTTGTGTGGTGTGTGTTGTGTGTTGTGTGTTGTGTGTTGTGTGTGGTGTGTGGCGTGTGTGTGTGTGTTGTGTGTTGTGTTTTGTGTGTTGTGTGTTGTGTGTGTGTTGTGTTTTGTGTGTTGTGTGTTGTGTGTTGTGTGTGTGTTGTTTGATGTGTGCTGTGTGGTGTGTGTGTGGTGTGTGGTGTGTGTGTGTTGTGTGTTGTGTGTTGTGTGTTGTGTGTTGTGTGCTGTGCGTTGTTTGTTGTGTGTTGTGTGTTGTGTGGTGTGTGGTGTGGTGTGTGGTGTGTGTTGTGTGTTGTGTGCTGCGTGCTGTGTGCTGTGTGCTGTGTGCTGTCCGTTGTGTGTAGCGTGTGTGTGTGTGCTGTGTATTGTGTGGTGTGTTGTGTGGTGTGTGTTGTGTGCTGTGTGTTGTTTGTTGTGTGTTGTGTGGTGTGTGGTGCGTGGTGTGTGCTGTGTGTTGTGTGTTGTGTGTTGTGTGGTGTGTTGTTTGCTGGGTGCTGTGTTATGTGTGCTGTGTGCTGTGTTGTGTGTGGTGTGTGTTGTGTGTTGTGTGCTGTGTGTTCTGAGTCGTGAGTTGTGTGTTTCGTGGTGTGTGCTGTGTTGTCTGGTGTGTTGTGCGTTGTGTGCTGCGTGTTGTGTGGTGTGTGTTGTGTTGTGTGCTATGTGTTCTGTGGTGTGTGCTGTGTGGTGTGTGCTGTGTCTTGTGTGATGTGTGCTGTGTGTTGTGTGTTGTGTGTTGTGTTTTGTGTGTTGTGCGTTGAGTGGCGTGCGATGTGTGTTATGTGTTGTGTGGTGTGTGTTGTGTGTTGTGTGTTGTGTGTTGTGTGTTGTGTGATGTGTGCTGTGTGTTGTGTGTTGTGTGATGCGTGGTGTGTTGTGTGGTGTGTGGTGTGTGTGTGGTGCGCGGTGTGTGGCGTGTGTTGTGTGGTGTGTTTTGTGTGATGTGTGGTGTGTGGTGCGTGATGAGTGGTGTGTGATGCGTGTGTTGTGGTGTGCTGCCTGGTGTGCGTTGTGTGTTGTGTGGTGTGTGCTGTGTGTTGTGTGCTGTGTGTTGTGTGGTGTGTGTTGCGTGGTGTGTGTTGTGTGGTGTGTGTTGTGTGGTGCGTGTTGTGTGGTGTGCGTTGTGTGTGCGTGTTGTATGTGGTGTGCGTTGTGCGTTGTGCGTGATGTGTGTTGCGTGTTGTGTGTGGTGTGTTGTGTGTACTGTGTGTGTTGTGTGTGGGTGTGTTGTGTTGTGTGCGTGCGTGCGCGCGAGCGCGCGCGCGTGCGTGCGTGCGTGCGTGCGTGCGCGCGCGCGGGCGCGCGGGCGCGCGGGCGCGCGGGCGGGCGGGCGGGCGGGCGGGCGGGCGCGCGGGCGTGCGTGCGTGTCAGATCGTGCGTGCGCGTACGCGTGCGTGCGCGCGTGCGCGCACGTGCGCGTGCGTGTCCACGCGTGCGTGCGCGTGCGCGTGCGTGCGCGTGCGTGCGCGTGCGTGTGCGCGCGCGTGCGTGGGCGTGCGCGCGCGCGTGCGTGAACGTGCGCGCGCGTGTGCCAGTGCGTGCGCGCGCGCGTGCGTGTGCGCGCGCGTGCGTGCGTGCGCGTGCGCGCAGGTGCGCGGTGCGCGTGCATGGTGCGCGTGCGTGGTGCGCGTGCGTGCCCGTGCGTGCGCGTGCGTGCGCGTGCGCGTGCGCGCGCGTGCGTGCGTGTGCGTGCGTGTGCGCGTGCGCGTGCGCGCGTGTGCGTGCGTGTGCATGCGTGGGCGTGCGTGTGCGTGCGTGTGCGCGTGCGTGCGTGTGCGTGCGTGTGCGTGCGCGTGCGTGCGTGCGCGTACGTGCGTGTGCGTGCGTGTGCGCGTGCGCGTGCGTGCGTGTGCGCGTGCGTGTGCGCGTGGTGTGCCGTGCAAGTGCGCGTGCGTGTGCGCGTGCGTGTGCGCGTGCGCGTGCGCGTGCGTGTGCGCGTGCGCGTACGCGTGCGCGTGCGGGTGCGCGCGAGGGTGCGCGTGCGGGTGCGCGTGCGGGTGCGCGCGCGGGTGCGCGTGCGGGTGCGCGCGCGGGTGCGCGTGCGGGTGCGCGCGCGGGTGCGCGTGCGGGTGCGCGCGCGGGTGCGCGTGCGGGTGCGGGCGCGCACGGGTGCGTCGTGCGGGCGCGCTGTGCGGTGCGCGCCGCGGGTTCGCGCGCGTGCGGGGTGCGCGTGCGGGTGCGCGTGCGGTGTGCCGCGGGTGCCGCGTGCGGGGGCGGGTGCGGTGCGGGTGCGCGCATGTGGCGCGCGTGCGCGCGCGTGCGCGCGCGTGGCGCGTGCGTGTGCGCGTGCGTGTGTGCGCGTGCGTGGGCGCGTGCGTGGGTGCGCGTGCGTGGGCGCGTGCGTGGGCGCGTGCGTGGTCGCGTGCGTGGGCGCGTGCGTGGGCGCGTGCGTGGGCGCGTGCGTGGGCGCGACCGTGGGGGCGTGCGTGGGGGCGTGCGTGGGCGCATGCGTGGGCGCGTGCGTGGGCGCGTGCGTGGGCGCGACCGCGCGGCCGTGCGTGGGGGCGTGCGTGGGCGCGTGCGTGGGCGCGTGCGTGGGCGCGTGCGTGGGCGCGCATGGGCGTGCGTGGGCGTGCGCGGGCGTGCGTGGGCGTGCGTGGGCGTGCGTGGGCGCGCGTGGGCGTGCGTAGGCGCGCGTGGGCGTGAGTGGGCGTGCGTGGGCGTGCGTGGGCGTGCGTGGTGCGTGCGTGGTGCGTGCGTGCGTGCGTTGTGCGTGCGCGTGCGCGCGTGTGCGCGTGCGCGTGTGCACGCGTTGCGCGTGTGCGCGTGTTCGCGTGTGCGCGTGTGCGCGTGTGCGCGTGCGCGCGTGCTCGAGTGTGCGCGCGTGCGCGCGTGCGCGCGCGCGCGGCGCGCGCGCGTGCGCGAATGTGCGCGCGTGCGCGTGCGCGCTGCGCGCACGGTGCGCGTGCGTGCGGTGCGCTTGTGCGTGTGCGTGTGCGTGTGCGTGTGCGTGTGCGTGTGTGTGTGCGTGTGCGCGTGCGTTTGCGTGTGCGTGTGCGTGTGCGTGTGCGTGTGCGTTTGCGTGTGCGTGCGTGTGCGTGTGCGTGTGCGTGTGCGTGTGCGTGTGCGTGTGCGTGTGCGCGTGCGCGTGCGCGTGCGTGTGCGTGTGCGTGTGCGTGTGCGTGTGCGTGTGCGTGTGCATGTGTGTGCGTTTGCGTGTGCGTGTGCGCGTGCGTGCGCGTGTGCGTGTGCATGTGCATGTGTGTGAAAGTGTGCGCGCTTGTGTTTGTGATTGTGTTTGTGTTTGTGCTTGTGCTTGTGGTTGACTTTGTGCTTGTGATTGTGTTTGTGCTTGTGCTTGCGTTTCTGCTCGTGCTCTTGCTCGTGCTCGTGTTCGTGCTCGTGTTTGTGTTTGTGCATGTGCTTGTTCTGGTGTTTGTGCTTGTGCTTGTCATTGTGCTTGTGCGTGTGTGTGCGTGTGTGTGTGTGTGTTGGTGCTTTGGTGTGGTCGGCCAGCGGGGTGTCGATGCCGCCCCGCTGCCGTGGGAGGGCTCTTGGGCGGCCGGCCACCTGCTGAGCCTCAAAGCGCGGGGAGCGGCTCGACGCGGCGGAACCCGCCACTCAGCCGACCATCTGGGCACAACCGCCTCGGGCTCCCTCCGCTGCTCATTGAAGTGGTTTCCCCGTCTTGGGGTCCTGGCCGTTCCTGATGCGGTCGGGCCTGCGTTGCCACTCTCGGTCTCGCGCGTCGCGCGGGTACAGCCTCCTGCGCGGGCCCGTGAGGTTCCTAGCCACCGCCTCGTAGTAGGACCTACGCACGACGCACACCACAAAGTCGCCCACCTCCTCGACTGCGCGGCCGAGGCGGGAGCGACGAGGACCTAGGCGTCGACGGCTGCTGGGTCCTTTGGCTGGCCGCGGCAGACGCAGCCTTCGGCCTAGGGCTCGAAGCCGACGAAGGTGGGACCTCAACGCCGTGTTCCAGGCTGCCCTCTCCGCGTCCCTGACGAGCGCCCAAGACGGGCAAGCTCGCATCGGCTTCCACTCGAGGCTGAGCGGCAGTGCCGAGCCCAGTCTCAGCCAGGTTGGCTTAGCAGGGACCATCCACGTCCAAAGATTTGGCCAGCCAGTCATCTGCGACACCTCCAGGATGCCGCTCGGGAAAGCTGACCGAGCGCGCGGGACTGGGTCCAGGAAGGAGCCGATCCCCAGGAGGCGCCCTGCTTGCTGGTGGTGGCCGTTCGCCGGGTGGTGCACCATCCCCAAGAAGAAGCCGTCCTTCTGGTGGTAGCGATGCCCGATCCACTGGTGGAGGCAGACCTCAGGGTGGCACGTGACCCTCGGGCACGAGCCAATCCCTGATAGTGCCCCGCATTCAGGTGGAAGCCGAACTTCCAGTCGGAGTCGATCCACAGGAAGAGGCCCACCTTCTGGTGGAGGCTGTACTTCAGGGACCCGCCCAGCGCACGAGACGCCCACGGGCGGGCACCAGGCGCGAAACCTCGGCCGACACCAGGCGCGAAACCTCGGCCGACCCCACGCAACACCAAGCGCCCACGGGGCGCCCATGGGCGCCCAGCCAAGCAGGCACCAGGCGGCACCTCGGCTGGCCCATCGGATCCCTTGAGGAAGGGAAGAAAAAACCCTAGGTGCAAGCACGGTCTGGGGAAGGAAACTCCTCCTTCTCCTGCGGTTCCTCCTCGCCCGCCCCCTCGTCGTCAGAGGAGCCCTCCTGCTCGATCATCCCTCCCTCTCCTCCGTTCTGCTCCTCCCTCGCCCCCTCCTCCCTTCCTGGCGGCGATGGCGACGCAGCCGAAGGCAACGACACGCGGACAACGACGGCGACGGGCGCCACAACGACGAGACGACGACGACGACGAAGACGACGACTTCGACGACGACGACGACGACGACGACGACGACGACGACGACGGCGACATGAGCGGCGGCGACAACGGCGGCGGAACTGGCCGCACTGGTGGCGGCGGCGCCTGAAGGCGGCGGCCCCGTCCGGCCACGCGAGAGCGGGCTCCGCGGGCTGGGCCTCGGCGGGGCGGGGCAGAGGGCCGGACCCGACGGGCAGAGGACAACCAGGACCCGCCCGCGGGCTCAGAGGGCAAACGCCTCAGGCCCATGGTTGGGGAGACGGAAAGGGAAGCAGGGGAACGATGACGACGACGACGACGACGACGACGACGACGACGACGACGACGACGGCGGCGGCAGCGACATGCGGCGACGGCGACGGCGGCCACGACGACGACGACGACGAAGACGGCGGCGGCGGCGGTGGCGGCCGAGGTGGCGCACATCGTATACGGCGGCCGGGCAGCAGCGGCACGCACGCTCATGTACACTGCGCGATGTGCGCCGCTGGCGTCGGCCCGTCCAGCGCCCGACATCACGGCCCTCACGGGGCCTCCACCCACTTGTGCATCCGCAGGACCGTCGGCTGGTGCACGCTGCTCATGTGGCGGGGCTCGAGCACCTGCGAGCGGCCCTGCCCCGCCTGTGTGCAGCGCGCCGTGCTGACGAAGGGGCCGCCCCTCAGGCGCTGGGCCAGGCGGGGGGGCGGCGCGTGCGCCTTCGGGCACGGGGCTGCCTCCGCGCATCGGAGAGCGTGGGGCGGGCGGGATCCCCGTGGTGACGAGGGGACCCTCTGGGCGTGTCGGGTGATGGCAAGCATGCTGCTGCGCCAAGTCACTGACGCCCGACGCCCGCGCGGCGGGGTCACTCCCCGCCTGTGTGCGGTGCCCGCGGTCAGCGAAGCTTGGGGCCGGGGGACTCATAGCACGCGTCGGCGTGCCGCCACCACCTGACGTCACGCCACTGGACTGGTCGAAGGGGTCTGGTGCGGCATGATCGGCCGCGTCCGCGGTCTCGGCGCCGCCGAACGTGGGAGCCTGGTCGCGCCCGCGCGTAGCAGGGTCAGGGGTCGGGCCAGCGGCGTGGCCTGCGGTCGCCTGGCCCGCAGTGGTAGCGCGAGCCACGGGGCCCGCAGCACTGCCAGTGGCGGCTGCCTGCTGGGCACGCAGGGAGCCCGCTGGACGGCAGCACGCGCAGCGAGGCCCCTGTTTCCGACGAGCTGGGCTACGCTGATGGCTGGCGTTCGTCTGGGCCGTCGGCGAGGTAGCGGTCCCGTGGGGACGGGGAGCGGCTGTTTGCGGCGGCGTTCTGGGACGGGGACGGCGGCGTGACCTCACACGCGGCACGGTGGTGCGGGCTGGTGCTGCGCCTGGCCGGTGCTGCGGCTGCTGGCGACGGAGACCGAAGCCGGCGACCGCTCGGGGCCAAAGGGCCGCCGCGGCCGGCAGCAAGGGCAGCAGGGGCGGCGGGGGCGCCGCTGCCGCTGGCTGCTCCCATGTCCCCTGAACCCGTTGTTGGGGAGAGAGAAAGAGAGAGGACAAACAATTATTTTGCTTCGAGCGACCCCCACCGAAATCGAAAGCGTTTGTTCCCGACGGCGCGCGGTCGCCTAATTGGTCGACAACTGCGGGTTCTGGATAAACAACTGTTCAACCGTGTTTCATTCAGTCACGTTATTTCATGTTATGCTCTAATATGTCCTGCTCTGCTCTCGACGGGCCGGCGTGACGCCGTGGAACTGTGACGTAGGATGCGTCGTCTGTTATGATGCTCCTCTTCACAGATATGTTTGTCTTCTGGTTCAGTATGGTATGACATGCTTATCTCTATCAACACATAACTTGATATGCCATGATATGAAATGACATGTGGCACTATGTGTTGGCATGATATGTTACGTCAAACTGTAATCAAATGTGTGTGTTGTTCCGTGGTGATGTTGGCATCTCGGCACGGTATGGTAGATTATGCTATGCTCTAATGATATATAACGCTATGATTTGCTGTCGTCGTATGGCATGTTCTGTGATGATGCCATGATATGATATGATATGACATAATACAGTATGGCATGGTGTGTTGTGACGTTCGGCTATGTAGTGTTATGTTATGGTGTGTCGCCGTCTGTTCTGTAAGGTTCTGCTTTGGCGTGATATGTGATGTTCTATGTGTCGACGGCTCGGCTCTGTAACTTGTAGTGTGATCAGCTCTGCTAGTATGTGTCGCTATGCCCTGCTGTCGGGTTGTGTTGTTATGCGATGCTGTGCTCTGTCATGATGTGCTCTGGTACGACCAGCTCTGTTCTGTAATGGTATGGTCTGTCGTATTAGGTTATGTCATGCTCTGCGCTGGTATGTTTGCGGATGTCATGTTATGCTCTAGTTTGCCACGACATCGCCTCTGTCAAGTTCTGTCACGCTTGAGGTATGGTCTGCCATGTTGTGATCTCATGTTGTGTTCTGTAATGGTCGTCGTCGCTATGCTCTGCTGTCGTATTAATATGTGTGATGCGACGCTGTGTCATGGCATGAAATGTTATGTCAAGGTGTGTTATGGTATGATTGGATATGTTGTGCTGTGATGTGCTATGCCGTCTCATGTTATGTCGTGTTCTGATATGGTATGCTATGTGATGTTATAGTATGATATATCTTGCCCTGATAGTATTATGATATGGTATGCCATGTCTGTCATGCTCGTAGTATGTAATGTCATGGTTTGTTGCGTCAGTTTGTGTTATGTAGTGTTCGTCGTCGCTAAGCTGTGCTGTGTAAGATATGTGGTGTGACGAGATGCCATGACATGATATGCTCAGCCAAAGTGTGTCCTGGTTTGATCGGTTATGTTATGCAGTGTTGTGGTATGTCGTCTTCTGTTATGTTATGTTATGATATGGTATGTTCCGTCATGTTATGTCATGCTCTGCTCCGTTCTGTCATGCTCTGTTCTGCCATGTTGTGTTCTGTAGTGCTCGTCGAGGGGGCGAGGCGGGATACCCGGGACTCTCGGGGATCATCGGGACAACTTGGGGTATGGCGGCCGCGGTATGCAGGTTAGGGTTGGCCGGGCGATCCTCGGGACAACTTGGGGCCTGGCGGCCGCGGTATGCAGGGTGGGCATGGCCGGGGGGCCTGTTCTTGGAATCTAACAACCCCAGCCTGTCGGGTGGGAAAGTATATAAAAAGAGAACAAGAGTTATACATATATATATATATATGTATATATATATAGAGAGAGAGAGAGAAACAAAAAAATGTGTGATAGAGAGAGAGAAAACTCCACATCGGACGGCAACGTCGCCCCAGCCCCTGGGCCACGCGCGTCCAGCGGGCCCGACTCGCATGACGGGAGGTGCCGCGTGCTAGCCAGGGGTGGCGGGCTGACCTCCCTCCTGGCGCGGACCGACGGGGACCTCGACTGGAAAGAAAACGGCCGGTGGTGATGAGCATCGTTTATCCGATCCCTGTCCCAAGCGGCGTGGCCTGGGCCCCATCGGCCGATTTACCCCCCTAGATGGGAATATAGGCCGTTCCCTTCAGGTTTCGAAGGGTATATCCTCAACTGGGGGGTAGTTTGGTGGGAGTCTCGAAGGGGATGGGAATAGGGATGGGGCTCGGTTAAACGATACTGAGGTGATCAGACCAGTCAGAGGCCCATCTGCGCCATCGTTCGGAGCGAGGCGCCCTCGGCGCCCTGGGGAAGAAGGCGCCGCCTTGGAGCGGCACCCACAGCGGCCCGTGAGAGGCAGACAACGGAGCAGGTGTCGACTGTTCTCGCGGCCCGCGCGTGAGGAGGCGAGTACCGGTGCGCCGCACATTGGGAGCCAAAGAGGGCTTGGAAGCTGCTGCGGAGGGCGCAGTGCAGTCCACTCCGACCCTCGCGCGCACGATGGAAACTGTCGATCAGCGGCGCTGACTGTTCCTGGATCTGTTGGTTGGAGAGGGGCCACCAGCTGATTGATGCGCTCATCACGTGCTTCAATGCTACCAGTGAGCTCGGTCTCTCGATCCGCATGCTGCTGTCCGCGAGCAACAGCGCGACGGTGCGCGACACCTTGCCTGCGATCCGCGTGTGGTGCAGACGTCCATCAGGTTCCTGGTGGGCTGCAGCGGGACGCGTGGTGCGTTGGGAACATTGGATGACGCTCGTGTCCTGTTGGTCCGGGACGCGGAGGGGTACCGATCGCGTCAGTGTGTCTTTCGGCCGCGTGGGCGTCTTCAGCATAGCGTCTCGGTGGCGACTGGACGCAATCGTCGCCGTCTTCGAGGGAGGCCCCGAGACCGGGGGGGGGTCGAGGTCGTCAGCGGCGAAGCCGCCCACGCGTGGGAAACAGGGGCCATCGAGTTCATCGAAATGCTCTTAAGCTGGTGGTTCAGCCGCAGGAAGTGTTCCTCCTTAAAGCGCCTGTGCCATGCCCTCCCTGATTGGCGGCGAACGGGCTTGTTTCTATGTGTGGGGAGGTCCACCCTGGAGTATCCCGCTCTTCTGTGGGGCAGAGGGACCGCGCGGTGTGTCTGGTCGTACATGGCGACAGCCGTGGCGTGTAAGACCGCGGCGAACTTGCGGAGCCATCTAGCAGCATCTGCCACGTTGTGCGGGATGCTGTGTACCCTCACACCAGCGGTAGCGAACTCGTCGGAATGACGGTTGAAGGCTTCCGCGATAGGCATGATGAGGCCATCGCTGGTATTCTGCTCACAGAAATGAGGCTCGACTTTTTGGACGCTGAAAAGATCAGACCCTGCCGGAAGTACCCGGTGGATTTTCTGCTAGAGGCCCGACTGCGGTCCCACGCGCTGTGGAGGTTTACCAAGGAGGAGCTGATCGATCCAGTCAACCACAGCTTGGTTGTCGACGAAAACGTGAGCCGGTGGTCTGGTCCGAGATGCACGCTATAGCCCTCGCTGGCGAGGGCGGGGTGGGCTTGGCTGAAGCAGGCCCCGCCAGTCGCGGCGTAGACCCAACAGTCGGTGCATTTTGTATGGTCGTCCGTCGTCGGTCTTCCACCGGGGCGGTCTCGAGATAGGCTGTGGGAGCTCGTCTTCCGCCAGGACGGCCCGGAGGCGGAGCGCGGCGCAGCCTTCCACTGAGGCCACAATGCCTGCTGTGTGGTGGGAGATCCTGCAGCCCTTGTTCCGTGATCAAAGTCTTGAGGGCCGCCTTTTGTTTAGCCCAGCAGGGGCATCTCCAGACGGTGTGCTACTGGGTTCCTTCCTCTTGGTCGCACCACCTGCGCGGGGGGCGATGGTTCGGCCGAGATGCTGGCCTTGACTCTCCTTTTGTTGGGTGTGCTCACCCCCGCAGAGATAGTTACAGAGGAGCCCGAGTTGGTGGGCGTTTTCTTTTATTCGGCATTTCGACATTGGGAGGAAGCGGGGGGGAGGGGGGGGCTCTGGCTCCAGACCTCTGCTTAGTGAGACTGTTTGCAGCAGTGCGAGGCTCGCGCCAAAAACAGCCAAGATCTGCTCCACGGGGGGGGGAGGGGGGAGTGCGAGGGCCCGCGCCGATCGGCAAGACTACAAGTAACAAACTACCACTTGCCACTCCGTGCGTTTGGTTTCGCCTTTGGTCCTGAGCAGCCCAGCGCTGGCGCAAAATAATCAGAGAGGGCCTGCGTGGCAGCGGCAACGGCTCCCAGAGATCACGCCCAGTCAGCGCCTTCTGAGAAGCAGCCTCCTTCCAAGAAGCCTTCCCCCCTCCCCCGCCTCCTGCTCCTCCTCCTGCTCCTCCTCCTCCTCCTGGGTGTTCGTCGGGGTGCGTCGGAAACAGCACTCTCCGCCGAGTGGCCCAAAGCATGTGGGTGAAGAGGCCGGCTGGAAGCCAGCCATGGAAGTAGCGTTAAGTCGGGCGTGTCCCACTACAGGCGGATTCTGGAAAAAAATAAAAAGTGGTCAAACAATGCCACAAAATCGTCAAGCATAGTGGAAAAGTCGTCCCCAGAGTATTTTTCTACTATTTCAGAACATCCCTCCTGTAGAGGCACAGGCCCGCGCCCAGACCTGGGTCAGCGGAGGGCGGGGAAGCGGGGTCGGCCCCACGTGGCTCCCAAGCCTGGGTCAGCCAAGGGGGTGTGCCTGACCTGGGGGGGGGCCAAAAGGCACCGATACCGCTGCTCCCCGGACCTCTCCTGGGGAGCCTTCTGACCAGGATTTCGACGCGAATCCAGCGGTGGCGACAGCGGAGCCCCAGGAGGCCCGAAAAGGGGAAAACGAGGGGAGGGCAAGTAGAGGTATTGCCACCTGTTCATCCTCTGATGCCCCCCGTCGGCGCTGAACCCCCGCTACGCGAGCCCCGAGGGAGGAGGCCGCGAGGACCTCTGGCGGCGCGGGCGGGCCTTCGAGCGCCAGTCGCGGAGGCCTTGCACGCTGCTGCCGAGGGCCTGCGGGCGGGCGCAGTCGAGCGCTCTGCGGCGCTCCCGGCGGCGCGGGGCCGCGGGGCGCCGCCGATGGCTCCGCACACTGCGCGCCACCTACTTAAAACGAAGCCAGGGCAGGGACCTGTCGGTCAGCGACCCATCGGGGGGAACAAAAAAGGAGGGTCGGGGCAAGGGTGGGGTTGGAAGGGAAATCGCTCCGAACGGCCCCCAGGCAGAAGGAACCGCGCTGAACGGGAGCATCCAGCTGGGCCCGCTCCCCAGCCCCGCCTTGGGGACTACCCCACCTCTGCGAACTCACGAACACATCGTCGGCGGCCTTCGTGTTCGTCATCATTCTCACTATCATTCTCACTATCATCATCATCATCATCATCATCATCATCATCATCATCATCATCATCATCATCATCATCATCATCATCATCATCATCATCAGCATCATCATCATCATCATCATCATCATCATCATCATCATCATCAGCATCAGCATCAGCATCAGCAGCAGCAGCAGCATCATGATCATAACCATCACCATCACCATCTGCGTCGGGTGCCGCGGCCTTCTCGGAGCGCTCTCTGGAACTCTCTGGAGGACCGCCCGGCGCACTCCGAGAGCCTGGCGGGGCAGTTTCTGCGCACGGGGCGCTCGCGCCCAGTCTCGGGCCCCGCGGGCAGCACGGATCAATCTGGGCCCGACGCAGGCCTCAGGGAACTTGGGTCTGTGCAGCGCGGGCGCGGCCGCGAGAAACCCTCGCGAGAGACCCATCCCTGAAAGCCAGCGCGCGAGGTGCGCCTGAGGGGAGACCGGGAGCACCCTGAGCGCAGCCGCTTCTTCAACGGCTGAGGGAAGTCACCGCGCAGCGCGCGGAGCGAAGAAACCCAGGATACCCTGACGGAAAACATATAGTCTCTTGATGCGCGCCCCCACTGTAGAGGCCCCCGACATGGGGCCCGAGCAACAGGGTCGGAGGATCGCCAATCGACCCATCGGCGATGCATCGGCGACGTCGACGTGAAGAGCACAAGGATTCACACCGAGCCGCATCGCCGACGCGGAGCGATCCTTTGACCCCGTCTTCTCGGACTCCAGTGGACGGCCCTTTCGCGTCCCACCTGCACTGCGGCACTCGCACCCGTGTGTGGTTGGGTCCCTCGCCAAAGATGCTTGCACACTGGGCGTTCTCCCTCGGTCTCAGGCCCCTGGGGCATACGGATCGACGTGGCCGAAGAATGCCGCGGAAAAAACAGGGTCTGGGACTCTGGCCGTGATTCTTTTCGCGCTGCCGCCAGCGTGCGCGCCAGCGTCGGACCCCTGCGGCTCTCCGTACACATCGTGCGCCCCGCGGGTGCGCGACGCGCGGTTCTGCCGCTCCGAATTCGTATTCGCGAACGCCCGTGACCGGCACCGCTCCCCCCCCCCGGGCTCTAAGTCGGGCCTGTCCCTCTACAGGAATTCTTCAAAAATTGTCCAAAAATAACATGGCGACGATTTGGGGGGCACCCTTTTGCTATTTAGTTGTATGTTTGAAGGTATTTTCATTTTTCGTCCAAAATCCGCCTGCAGGAGGACAGGCCCGACCTAACCTTGGCTCCTTGAGGCCTCCTAGATGGGGTCGGAGTAGATGGGGTCGCAGGATCGCGCCGCATCGCCGATGCATCGGCGACGCGTCGCCTATGCATCGGAGATGCCTCGGCGACATCGGCGATGCATCGGCGTCGCCAGCGTGGAGAAGATCGGGCTCCACATCGAGCCGCATCGTCGACGCATCGACGAAGCGGCGCGATCCTCCGACCCCATCTCCTTCGACCATATCTAGGAGGCCTGCACTTCCAGAATGCTGCAAAATTGTGGCCCTCCCGAACTATGAGAGAGCGCATTTCACGGGCGCTCGCCTTGGGAACATTCGGCGGCGCGTTTCGAACCGGGGGGTGCGCCCTCCCCCCCAACACTCGGCGCCGTGGATCGAAACCAGGGGGACTCCCCTCCCCCCAAAACCCTCCCTCTCCCGAGCCCCCGCCCCTCCCTAGGGGAGGAGGATCCCCCCCCAAACCCTCGGCGCCGGCGCCGGCGGTGGCGGCCGCCAACAGCGCCGACGGCGGGGACGCAGCGACGATGACCAGAGGCAGCCCAAGGGGTGGGGTGGGGGGGGGTTCAACCCCCCCCCCTTCCAAAGGGGGCGGGGGCTGAAAACCCCCCCATGGCACTGGCGACGGCGGGGACGCAACGACGATTACCACTACCACCACCATCACCGCTACAACCACCACCACCGCCTCAACCCACCATTATTACCACCAACCCACCACACAACCACCACCACCACAACAGCCACCACCACCACCACAACCACCACCACCACAACTCACCATCACCACCACCACCACCACCACCTCCACAAAAACCCATCACCACTACCACCACAATCAGAATCTACCACCATCACCACCACCACCACCGCCACAACCACCACCACTACCAGCAGCACAACCCACCACCACCACCACAAACCACCACCACACCACCACCACCACAGCCACCACAACCACCACCAGCACCAGCTCCACAAACCACCGCCACCACCACTACCACCACCACCAGAAGCCACCACCACACCACCACCAAACTACCACCAAACCACCACCACCACCACCACCCACCACCACCACCACAAACCACCACCACACCACCACCAAACCACCACCACCACCACCACCACCACCACCACCACCACCACCACCACCACCACCGTCGTCCTCGCCGACGCTTCCCGCCGCCGCCGCCCGCCGCCGCGGGCCCCAGCGCTGGCCCGGAAAAGGAAATCGTCGCCGCCGCCGCCAGCTGCCGCCGACGCCAGCCGCCGCTGCCGCCAGGAGGGGGTGGGTCCGGTTCCAACCCCCCCACCCCACCCCAAGCGACCACAGAACGCGCTCTTTTTGAGCTATAAACCAACCTAGACTTCCAGCACCTGGAGGATCTCGATGCGGAAAGGTTCCGCCGACTTCAGCCTCTGAGGGGGCCCATCCGGAAGCGACGCAGGCTGAGGAGACGGCCCGGGGGAACGGACCCAGAACTCCGGGGGCCCCGCCTTGAGAAACTCAAAACGTCGGATGTCTTCGGGGTGACCCAACAGGATGTCCAGCTGAAAGGGGGTGGTGCAATAGATTTGGGGCAAGTGTATTGCACATGTACTGCGCCGAAGAATTGTATTGCATTGTATTACAAGTAATGCATTGCACGCGAAAGTACAGCAATACATCTGCGCCCCTTCATGTATTGCACGCCCCAAATGTGCTGCAACCCCGCCAATCTGTTGCACCAAATCTATTGCACCACCCCCTTGTCGCTGGACACACTTCTGGGTCAACCGGATGTCTGGGTACCTCGACTGCTTAGAATCTCGACCAGAGTTCAGATCGAGGCGTTGGGTCTGGCTTCTTGCCCTCCTGGAGGGTCAGGGTCTCCCCCCCGATCGCGTCACGATTCGCGCCCGAGCCACCTGGGCATCAGTCACCCTTCGACGCTCCCAGAATGTGCCTGCGCGAATCGCGACGTTACTGCCACCCCCCCTCCTATGACCTTCCAGAGTGCTGAAGACCTATAGTCCTTCGGGGGTGAACAGAAGCCCCTCCGGTAAAGCGTGGTTTGGTGAAACCGACCTCGGGCCCAAACCTGGCGGGCGCGAGCCTGGAAAATAACGGCCGCGGCGCCCTCTCGAGAATCGAAAACGGACAATTCACGAATCGACATGTCAGAGTGGGGGTTCTGTCCACCGCCGAGTCCTATCAACTGCTGGAGGCCTCAGCTGGAATTTAGACGTTGAGGTGCTGGTAGTATTTGTTGAGCCCCCCTGGAAGGTCCGGGTCCCCACCGCCCCCCAGTCGTATCACGATTCGCGACGGCGCCGTCTGGGCATCAGCCACTCTTAACCGTTCCAAACTGCGCCAGCGCGAGTCGTGACGTTGCCCGCCCCCTCTCTCCTCACCCAGGAGGAGCCCAAAATCGAGTCGATGAATCGGATCGGCGATCGAAAACAATCGGATCGCGGAAATCAGCAGCCCAAATCGGGCGATGTCGAATCGGCGGAAATCGGCAGGCGGGCAAGGCTTCCATTGAAAAGCTGAAATCCTACTTGGAATCCAAAACCGCATCGGACCGGAATCGGAACCTATGGAAATCGAACCGACTCGAATTTGAGGAGTCGAAGTGAGCCCTGCCGCCCCCCCCGTCACGCCCGTCACCGCCAGATCAAAATCAACGTCCTGCGGCCTCGACACTGGGTCCCGCGCCCTGGAACGGCGGGCCGAGGCGCGCCGAGACATCCTCGGGCGCCCCTCGGGACCCCCTTGCGGGCAGCGCCGAGGGGGTCACCACAAAGAAGGTCGCTTTTAAAATTGTTCGACGCTTGCTAGAGTTGGCCGGCGTGGGGGGCGGGGGTCGGGTGCTGGCCCTTGGTCGAGCATGTCCCCCTAATTACAAGTGGATTTTGGGCGAAAAAGTATTCAACAAATAAACCAAAACAATTTTACAATCTGCAATAAATCGTCCCCATATCATTTTTTGCTTATTTTTGAAAACTCCTCCTGTACAGGGACAGGCCCGACGCAATGCTGGCCGATAACCTGACCTGTTCGCGATGTGTGCGCCGCCGCGCATGCAGGGGGGCACCAGCACTGCGTGCCCAGCAGGACCGGCGCAGCCTCGGGGATCCTCTGACCCGGGTCACTCAATCCTTGCAGAATCCTTGTAAGTCCTGCGAGATCCTGCGCCCAAGCCCGGGTCAATGCGCAAGATCCTGCAGGATCCTCCACCCAAGCCCGGGTCAGTGCAAACCTGGCCCTGCAGGATCCTGCAAGACCCGACGCTCTGGCTGACCCCCGTTTGCATTGACCCCCGTCTCAAGGCTCCCGACAGCCGACAAGGTCAGGCGATCGGGGGGGAGAGAGGGGGGGGGGCGTGCGGGGCCGTTATCCCCGGGCGCCAAACAAAAAACAATCTCCTGGGGGGTCGCCGGGCCTCACCTGGAAATCGACGTGGCCGCCCGAGCGTTTCGGCGGTGAGCCCAGGGGGGGAGTCGGAAGGCGGCGGGGCGTCCCAGAAGCCCCCTGCCTTGCCTTCTGAGAGGCCGTCTCTGCGCCTTCGGGGAAGGGCCCCCAGGGAAGGCCGGAGGGCTCCTGGGAAGCCCTGCCCTCTTCATGCGAAGGTTCGCCCCTTCGCCCTTGCCCCCTGGCCGCGCCGCTGGGTGGTTACCCCCCCCGTGTTAGGTCGGGCGTCCCCCTACAGGCAGATTTTGGACGAGGGGGGGGGGTCCCGGGAGGGGGGGGGGTCAGATTCGCATCGCCTCTGGGGGTCCTCCTCTTCCACGCCGGTCCTTCTCCGGCGCGCTGGTCCTCCTCGGGTCCTCCTCCCCAGGTGGGGAGGAGTCTCAGGGGGGGGGAGTCAGATACGTATCCGTCCCTGCTGGGGGTCATCCTACCCCTCCCTTCTCCTCTCCCACGCCGGTCCTCCTCCCCAGGGGGGGGTCCCAGGGGGGTCCTTTTCCTCCTCCTCCTCCTCCTCCTCCTCCTCCTCCTATTCCTCCTCCTTCTCCTCCTCCTTTTCTCCGCCTCCTCCTCCTCCTCCTCCTCCTCCTCCTCCTCCTCCCAATCCTGGTCGTCATCGATGTCTTTCAGGGTCGGCGGCACCAGACGCCAGGCCTTCACAATAATCAAAAAATGCCCCCCAATGGTCAAACATATCCAAAACATCGTCCCCATACTTGTTTTAAACTATGTTTGAAGATTCCTCCTGTAGAGGGACAGGCCCGACTTCACCCCAGTGGCGGCCCCCCTTGGCGCCCAAGAGCGAGGCAGGAGAGGGCACAGGGAGGGGAGGATGAGGACGAGGAGGAGGATGTGGAGGATTTCCGAATCTAGGGGCGCTCCGAAGGCGACCCTGGCCCTGCCGCCTCCGGGTCATAACTCCGCATCGTTCAAAGAGGTGCCTGGCAGCTGCTTTGAACGATGCGCGTTCGGGGATCTTCTGACCCGGGTCAATCCAGACCCGGGTGAGTCAGGCCTTGCGGAGTCCTGCAAGGTCCTGCCAGATCATGCACCCAAACCAGGGTCAATGCGAAGGATCCTGCCAAATCCTGCATGATCCGGCACCCAAGCCCGGGTCAATGCGACCCCGGCCCTGCAGGATCCTGCAAGACCCGACGCTCTGGCTGACCCACGTTTGCATTGACCCCCGTCTCTTGAGTCACGACGCGTTGTTCAAAGCAGTGCCCCGGCACTGTGTGCGACGTCGCCCTTAGAAGGGTCTCTGGATTAGCTCGTTTCCCAGCGCTGGGCCGCCCGGCGGCGGGGCCGACACCAGCCGCATGCAGCAGCATGCATTCCTGACCTTCTCGACAGCTGAAAATAGCCCTCCACCTTTATAGGCCTATCTGGACTGGCTTACACCTCGGCTAGAATTTTGGCTACAACGCGGCTCTCAGTGGACGCTGGGAAGGAAGGGGGGGCGGTTCGAACTGGGAGGGCTACCCCCCCTGCATTGCCAGGGGGCGTTCGAACCGAAGGGGGGGGCCCTCAGGGGGGTGGTGTTCGAACCGGTGCAGGGGGGGGGGGTCGAACCAGGGGGGGCCCCCTGAGTTGCAAGGGAAGGGGGGGTTCGAACCGCGCCGTCGGGCAGCGACGACGACAACGACAACGACCACGAGGACGACGACGACAGCGACGACGACCACGATTGATCGCTCGTTCGCTCGCACGCTTGCTCGAGAGGGCGAGCGAGCGAGCAAGCAAGCGAGGACTATGCATTCAATGTCCCGCGCGCCCGACCCGACCCGCCCGACTCGCTCGCTCGCTTGCTCGAACCAGCGAGCAAGCGAGGACCATGCACTTGATGTCCCACCCGCCCGACTTGTCATGGCCGACTCTCTCACACGACTGCTCGATCGAGCGAGCGAGAGGACCCCCTCCCTTCTTCCCTCGTTCGCTCGCTCGCATGCTTGCTCCAGCTAGCGAGTCAGCGAGCAAGCGAGCACCGTGCATGTCATGAACCACCCGCTAGAACCGAAGTGCCTGACACTCTCGCTCGCTCGCGCGAGCGGGCGAGCCAACGAACGAGCAAGCGAGCACCATGCATTTGATGTCCCGTCCACCCGAGCCGACCCGCCCGACTCGAACGCTCGCTCGAATTAGCGAGCGAGCGAGCGAGCAAGCGAACACCGTGCACTTAATGTCCCGCCCGTCCGACCCGTCCCGACCGACTCTCTCGCTCGCTGGCTCGAGCGAGCGAACGAGAGGACCGACTTCCTCCTTCCCTCCATCGCTGGCTCGCATGCTTGCTCCAGAGCGAGCAAGCCAACACCATGCATTTCGTGACCCGCAGCCCGAAGCGCCCGACCTGCTCGCTCGCTCGCGAGTCTGGTCGGGCGGGCAAGCGAACGACCGAGCAAACGAGCACCATGCATTCAATGTCCAGCCCGCCCAGCCCGACCCGCCCGACTCGCTCGCTCGCTCGCTTGTTCGAGCTAGCGGGCGAGCGAGCGAGGGAGCGAGCACCGTGCATGTAATGTCCATGCCCGCACGACCCGGGCAGACCGACCCTCTCGCTCGCCACTTCGAGCGAGGGAGCGAGCGGTGCGAACGGGAGCCCCGCCAAACCCCCTTCCCTCGCTCGCCCTCTCAGGGGGATTTTGGGCGAGAAATAAAACATACCCCCAACATGCTAAAAAAAAAAACCCAACAAAAAAAAAAAGCTCGACAATAGTCAACAAAAATAGTCCCCCGACTATGTTTGGATCAGTTGGGGATGTTCCTCCTGTGTAGGGACGTGCCAGACTGAACGCCAGCGAGCGAGCGAACGAGCGAACGCCATGCAATTCATGACCGCCGCCGCCCGACCCGAACCGCCCGACCTGCATGCGCGCGCGTGGTCGAGCGGGGGAGCGATGCGATCGAGCAAGCGAGCGCCATGCACCTCATGCCCCGCCCGCCCATACGATGGGCCTGTTCTCCACCACCACCATAAGTTGGAGGGGGGAAGGAGGTGGAGGACGAGGAGGTGGAAGACGAAGAGGAGGAGACGGAGCAGGAGGAGGAGGTGGAGGACGAGGAAAAAAGGACATCCCTCGCCCTCCAACTTGTGGTGGTGGTGGTGGAAAACAGGCCCATCACCATACAGACAAGCCCGAGAGAGGGGGAGTTCTGTTGGGTCGGGCCCGACTAGGATGATGGTAAACATAGATCAGGCGATGGTCGGAGTCGATCAGGGCTGGACCGAGCCACGCAAGGATTGAATCAGAGCTGGATGCAGCTATCGTCGGACTCATGTCGAGCTGGATCCAGCGATAGTAGGGTGCCATTAGAGTCGGATCGAATCTGAATAGGATTATTTTAGGGGGAGGGGGGTCCTCCCTGGGTCGAACCCCCCCTTGCACCGGGGGGGGGGAGAGGCGCACAGGGGGGGAGGCCACCCCCAGATTCGAACCTCCCCTTTGCAACTCAAGGGGTGGAAGGGCCGGGTTCGAACCCACCCACCCCTTGGACAGGTGCCCGGGTTCGAACCCCCACCCCTGGGACCCTGGGAGGAAGGCCCCCCACCCCCCGCGGTTAGGAAGGCCGGTGTCCAGGGCGTTCAATGTTTTTTGGGCCAATGGATTTTTCAAAGGCAAGCGCCCACGAAACGCGTCCTCTCGAGTGTAGATGTCGAGGTGCTGGTGTTATTTTTGCTGCCCTCCTGGATGGTCAGGATGTCCCTATCACCCCCCCTCGTCCGAGGGTGTCCCTGTCGGGCGGGCGGGCGGGAGGGAGGGAAGGAGGGAGAGAGGAGGAGGAGGAGGAGGAGGAGGAGGAAGAGGAGAGGGGAGAGGAGGAGGAGGAGGAGGGAGGGAGGGAGGGAGGGAAGGAGGGAGGAAGGGAGGGGTAGGAGGAGGAGGAGGAAGAGGAGGAGGAGGAGGAGGGAGGGAGGGAGGGAGGAAGAGGAGGAGGAGGAGCAGGAGGAGGAGGAGGAGGGGTCCGACCCGACCAGGGTTTCAACTTTGAACTGCCGAGGGAGGCGGCGGCGCGCGGGCGAGAGGGCTCGCTCGAGAGCCTGCGCGGCCATGCTCGCGCCCGTGTGCGCCAGGGTGAGGTTGATCTTCTGCAGCCCGTCTGCGCGGGCGGCTGCGGCTGGAGTATCGTTTATCCGATCCCCATCCCCAGCGGCGTGGCCTGGACCCAACCGGCCGATTTCCCCCCTATATGTGGATATAGGCCGTTCCCTTCGGGTTTCGAGGGGTGTATCCCCAACTGGGGGGGCAATTTGGTGGGGGTCTCGAAGGGGATGGGGATGGGGATGGGGGTCGGATAAACCATACTGACGGCTGGGGGGCCCTGGCCTTCCGCGGTGCTGGAAAACGGGCGTATCCGCCCCCCCTTGCCCTTCCCCTCCTCCTCCTCCTTCTCTTCCTCCTCCTTCCTTTTCTTCATCCTCTGCCTCGCCCTAGCGAACAGGAGGGTCGGCGGCACCGGGCTTAAGGCCATCGCAATAGCCTCCAACCTGATACTGCTTACAATCCCGGCTGGAGTCTGAACGCATAGGTCCTGACGCTACCCTCAAACCATCCTGGCAGGCCAGAGGGGGGCCCACGGCGCCGCGGGCGCGCAGAGCAAGTGCGTGAGGCCTTCGGGGTGCCGTCCAATGACCTCTCCGGGGGCCCCTCGGGCGGGGCACCCGTCGGCGCCCCCCCGGCGTGTCTGACTCCGGCGGCCCCACAGGGAGGGCCCTTCGGGCGTCTTCGGAGGCCGTCGGAGGCCTTCGGAGGTGGCGCGGCGGGAGGCCAGAGGCGGAAGATGCATCCATCCCTCGGTGCCCCCCTCCTGCTCCCCCCTTCCCCCCTCCTCCACCTCACCGCTTCTCGAAGGTGGGCTACGGAGCGTGGGGGGTGCGGGGGGGGGCCAGGGGCGCGAGCGGGGGAGGTGCACAGAGGGAGAGGTGGAGGGGGAGGTGCGGGGTGGAGAGGATCCGCGAAGGGGGAAGAAGAAGAGGGGGGGAGGACAGATAGGTGAGGGAGGAATGAGAGGGGTGCGAAGACCGACGGGGAGGGCGAGGGTGACAAGGGCGGGTGGACGGTCTCCTCCCTCCCTCCACTTCTTCCCCCCCCGTGCCCTCCCCCTCCACCTCCCCCCTCCTCAATCCACAGACGTGTCGGTAGGGCAGTCTTGGCGTTTCGCCTGAGATTTCCCACTTATGACCCTGAAGCTTGAAATGTGCAACAGTTTCCACGATGGAGAGCGAGCGGTTTTCAAAATGTGGCGCTCGCCTTTGCACCGCGCACATTCGATTTAAACGTTTGCAGTAGTTTCAAGGATGAAGGGCGTTTAATTTGCAAAACCTGGTTTTCGGCGCGCGTTAGTCTTGAAAGTTTGCGTCTGCTTCAGAGATGGAGGGCGGCTCGTTTCCAAAATGTTGTTCTCGCCGTAGCGCCGCACACGATCGCTGTCAGAGTGTAAAACACATTCACGGGTTAGTAAGGACCCGTAGGGCTGCAATACACGAGAACTTGTGTCCTGACACGAATGAGAATGACATGACGCAACAATCATATGGGTCCACGGGGATGAAGCCTAATATGTGGTATTATGGCACGATCCCGGATTGTCAATACGCAACAGCCGAGTTAATTCGCACCGTGACAGTCCCAAGATCGAACTTATGACACGATTTATGAATCGCAGACAGTTGCCTTTCAATAAGGGACTTCCCGCAATGAAAACAAATTCTTGTATGGGGTCTATGAAAGAGGAAGCTTGGAGGGGGGCTTCTTGGAACATCGTTGACGAGTCTTGGGTTTGCGCTGGTCCTCCTCCTCCTCCTCCTCGTCCGCCTCCTCTTCCTGCTCCTCCTCCTCCTCCTGCTCCTCCTCCTCCTCCTCCTGTCAAGGCTCCAAGACCGTTGACAAGGTAATCATACAGCAGCGCCGGCACTACCATTGCACAGCTCCCCTGCTGAGAAACGTTCCAAACACGAACGCGGAAACATGAGTATGAAATGCGGCACGGGTACAGGAAATGTAGCGGGCCTGGGCCATGTCCTCATCCTCCTCCTCTTGCTCTCTGCCTCTCTCCTCCTCCGCCTCCTCCTCCAGCGCATGCGTCCCGAATCATGTCCGTAGCAGTTGGCTGTGCGAGGGGCCCCAGGCAGCCCTCAGGGCCTGCACGTGGCGCTCAGGAGGCTCCGGCACATGCCGCGGCTGCCTTTCAACCATCGGGTGGCGGGCGAGACCAGACGAATTCGTTGAGCACGGCTTTCCGTGTGCTGGGCTGGTGCGGAGCTGAATTTAGTGCGCCCGGTGAATACCCTGAAGGTCTGAAGCTCATGCCTCTACAGTCGGACTCGATTGGACAGGACACGCGAGAGGACACAAGACCCTTCCGAGGGCCACATTGCTACAGGAATATAGGAAGCATGGGTCGCGAGACACAGGAAACAATGGTACCCTTGAGCTGCAGGGTCGACCTACTAATCTGGGCCGACTGTATGTCTACGTCTCCGTCAGCTGCACACGTCGCTTGCCAAAAGCAGCCGCAGAGCGGTGCCTGTGTTCTCGGGTCGGCGCCGCCCGTGACCAGCGGTTTTTGATTAGCTTCATGCTGGTCAAGGTGTCTGGTCTTTTTGCATACAGTATTCGGCCTGACCTGAGGAGCGATAAATAAGAAACGAAGCCCTTTTTTTCCAAGTGAGTCTAGAAGTCCGAAGGAACACCAGGAGCGCTCGCCGCCAAGAAGGTAGCGGAACGCACGCAAACCAAAGGAACGCCGAACCCCTTTTGAAAAGTAAGTGTTCCTGAATCAAACCGGACCCTGCATTTCAGCTAATTACGAGTGGGTAGAGGTATTCCAAGTATTTGACGCTCTGGAGGGTCATCCAACGTACGCCCAAAAAAACAGCCAGGAGTCCGAGGTGTGTACAATAATGTGAAGTTCCCTTCCCAAATACTACGTCGACGCTGCCAATGCTACTTCCACATGGTGAAGCCGTGATTGTCACGATGTCTATTGCTGTGCGGCGGTTTCCAGGAGTGCCATGCGTTGCTTGCAATATTCTCGGTGTCGGACAGTGATTCATCATATAAGCTCTGTTCTGAGAGGATGCGTTTGTCAACCGAGGTAATTCGTGGCGTTTGTCTTCTCCTATGCGTGCACGTGCTTTTCTGTGTCGTCTCGTCGCTGCGCGTGTTCAAGAAACAAGCGTTGAATAGAATCAATATTTGTCTGGCTTCCGGATTCCCGAATCCTTCTTCCTCCTTCTGCCCACTCACGCCTCCTATCTCAAACTCCTCGTCCTCCCCTCGCGCGCGATCCCGCGGGGGAGAAGGGAGGAGCATGAGGCGGAGAAGGGTGAAGGGCTGAAGGGAAGCGATGTTGGAGGAGGAGGCGGGGGGGCGCGAGGGGATGGCGGTGGATTGCGCTGGAGGGGCGCGTCGCTGTCGCCGCCCCGTCCAAATAGAGCCCCGCCGCTTCCGCGCCAGACCGCCCCGCGCCCGAACGAGCTGGAGGAGGGCGAGGAGGAGGGCGAGGATGGGGGGAAGAGCAGAACGAGATGGGGGAGGAGAAGAGACAGTCCCGAGGAAAGCTGCATTCGCGAATATCAGGGCACCCCGCTATCGCGCGGAAACAGCTTAGAAATGACAGCGGCGCCACCGCCACCGCGGAGTCACTAAGCGCGCCCAAGCCCCAGCAACGCCAAGGCGGGCACATCTCCTAACGCACGTCTCGTCTCATTGTGCATGAATACAGAAAGCGCATCTTTTCGACCATCTGCTAATTTGCCTACCACCATTTGAACAATCTCTGCAAACAGCTGCCCCCAATCCCCCCCGTGGGTCACAGCCATCTCGCTGTCCTATTGGGCCTTGAAGAAGTCCCAGTGGCTCGCTTGCTCAGGCGACAAATCATTGGCCCTCCGAAGATTTTACAATACTTGTAAGTACGTTTTGCAATGAGACCGGCTTCCACCACCTTTCTTTCCTTGACCCAACATGTCCAAGGAAAACGCTCTCACTTGCTCCATCGCCGCCACCGCGGTTTCTTCCCCCCTCTGGTAGGCGTGCAAAGTCAGAGCCAACAACATTTCATCATGTGTGTGTTTGCGTGGCGTTTTGTTTGTATTTATCAATGTTCAGTCCAGTATGTGTTTGTGAATATTTGTGTATTGTTTGTGTGTGTTTGTGTGTGTTTGTTTTGTGTGTGTGTTTCTGTGCTGTTCCCTGCCGGACAGGCTGGGGTCGCTAGATGTTTTTTGTTTTTTGTTTATATACATATATATATATATATAAACAAAAAATCCCCTGGCCACTCCCACCCAGCACGCCGCTGCCACCAGACCCCAAGTTGCCCCGAGCGCCCCGGCCACCCCGCCTCACGCCTTCGAAAAAAACGGCAGGGCACCCTGCATGCCGCGGCCGCCAGACCCGAAATTGCCCCGAGCGCCCCGGTTACCCCGCCTCGCGCTCTCGACTAACATGACAGAACACACCCTGCACGCCGCGGCCGCCAGACCCCAAAGTGCCCCGAGCGCCCTGGCCACTCCGCCTCGCGCCCTCGACAAACACAACAGAACACACCCTGCACACCGCGGCCGCCAGATTGCCCCGAGAATCCCGGGCGCCCCGCCTCGCGCCCTCGACAAACACGACAGAACACAACATGACGCAACATAAGTGACAGGACAGGGCAAGAGCATGACAGAACATGGCAGAACATAACAAATAAATATCATGACAAAATAGAGGACACCAGCATCTCACAAGCAGAACATGGCAGAACAGAATTGTTGTGTGTTTTTTTTTTCCGCGCACGCGCCGCAACGGTCTGGACGGACACGCAGGGGAGGGGCGACGAAGAAGAGAGGAGGGGAGGTCTGATACAAAAACGTCGAGGGCCACCCCTGGGGCCAACCGAATGACGGAGACTGGGGGCAGGGAGCGGCTAAGGATTGAAAAGGGGGGCGAAGGATAAAAGCGGGAAGGGAACGCGAGCGGCGCACCGAGGAGCAGAAGCGGAGAGAAAGGAAGTTCTTCGGTTGCTAATGCCAAGACAAGGGCGAGGTTGATGACTAATGTAATGCCCTTTGCACACACGGCCTCTGCTCTTTGCGGAACCTTTTTGAGCGTCTCTGTCGCCTCCTCCAACTTCTGTTTCGCTCGCTCTGTTTCTCTCCTCATCGCCGTGGGATTCACGCCTGGCGCGGCGAGCGTCGGCCTCTTCGTCCTTTAACACTGCGCACACATTCCGCGCGCACTACCGCGGCCCCCCGGGCAAGCGCATTCATTCGATTGCTTTCGCCGCGAGTGACACTCGCCACAGCTCCTGCCAAACAAGCGCGCAACTGGCCATGCGCAGTGTTGGAGATCTCTAAAGCTTCGCGTAGAGGCCTCATCCTGGACGACCCCAGGATGACACGTTCAATCTGCTGGTCTGCCAACTCCACGGATGGCAGGGCTTCCTCTTGCGCGCCGCCATCGCCGTGGCTTTTCGGGCCAACTTCGCCCGTCGCACGCGTGCGCAGCGCTTCCTCTGGATGCACCCCATCTCCGGGATCGAACTCCGTAGTCCCGTTGCCGAGACAATCGTCGTCGTCGTCCCCGCCCGCTTCTGTTTCTTCTTTCTTTCGGGCCTCGTTCGTATCCCAAGACTCCTCTGTCTGGGCCGGGGTTGCTCTCGTCTGCTTGGCCTATGTTAAACTCATCGAGGTGGCCCCGTAGGGCGCCGCGCGATGAGTGCCTGCGATGTCTGGCGCGCCCAGGAGAGTGGCCAGCAGCGCTTCTCAGACGCATCCGCCGCCGCGGAGTCAATGCGGCTCCGCGCGCCCAACTCATCGCAGGAGTCCCTTGCCTCTCTGCACATTTACCAGCCTGGGCCATATGCCTACCCCTAAGCTGGACATCGCCTCATCACAATGCCAATCTTAGGGATTCCCTTAGTTTTTTTCAGGGCGCATCCATAAGATTGTCATCGCCTTTTGGCGAGCCAAATCTTAAGGATAGGGATACGTTGGAGGCTGGTGATATCACATCATCTTCGGCTCCGCCCATGGCAACCGCCGCGCCCGCGAGCTCGCATCCTCTACGCGTCTGTAAACGGGGGACCCTGTCGGGCGGACCTGCGCCACGACGCCACTGTTATCCTCTTTCGTCAGGTCCACCATCCCGCCGCCAGCTCGTCGCGCGGTCGAGCATGTTCGCCGTTTGCGAGCGGCAGATCATGGATGGATGCCCCCCCCCCCCCCCCCCCCCCCCCCCCGCGAGCAGCGCAGGTGCGCCCGCGATTCCAACGCACGCGCTGCGCATTATCTGAGAGCCCTGGCGCGCGCGCGTCTGACAGGAACAACTCCCACCGTCAACCCCGCGGCAACAGCCAGCCAAGAAATTCGCAAGTCCTCGCGGGGCAGAGGGCCGCGGAGGAGAGCCGCGGCAGAGGGCCGCGGAGGAGGGTCGCGGAGGGGAGGGGGGGGGGGGGGGGGGCATTGACGAGGGCCCCGCGGGAGGGCAGCGCCTGAAGCCGCGGGGGGGGGGGCGGGCGGGCGGGGGGGGGGCGGAACTCAGGGGCCACTGCGGGGCAGTGAGGGGCCAGTAGAATTTAAGATGTCGCGCTCTCTGCGCGAGCCGCTCGGCCCCGCCACCGCGGAGAGCTTGCATGGCAGCTGCTTCGACCCCGCGCGCGCTTTCAATTTGCGCTCCGACAGCTTAACTTCTGCCTTGAACATCAAGTCGCAGCCTGGCGATTGTTGCAACATTCTTGCTTTGCAAGACTATGCGACCGAAAGCAGGCCCGACCGCCCCCTCGTCGCCGCATGGTTCTCGATTAAGGGAACAGCGAACGCGCCCCGGATGGTGGGCGCGTTGCACTCAACGCCTCCTGCCTCGCCCATGTGGAAAGGGCGTCGGTCGATGCTCCGCGCGCATTGGTCGCGCCCGAAACGCAGCGCGATCACCTCGCGCAAGGCCTCCACCGCGACCCAAACCATCGACGACCGTTCCGCTGAGACCACGCGCGGCACCTCAAACTTACGGTTCGGCCTCCGCGAAGAGATCCTGCATTATTCCGCCATCCAGCCACGCAGCCACTTACTAACGATTTGCACTGCCTCTGGCCCCATCTTCCGTCTTCACGCAAGACACGCAATGATCTTGTTGTAATTGAACCGCTTTCATCAGCAAACACTGCTTTGGGAAACGGCACATGGTCTCACCGCCCGCGCCGCGGCGCACGATGCTGCGTCATTCGGCCAACTCCCCCCGCAAAGCTCGGCGAGACCTGCGCCTGCCAGCGCCCGACGCCATGCGTCGCTGACGCGCGCGAACCGCGCGGCCGCTGCGACGTTCCAATTGAACGCCCAGTCGGGAAGGCCCCGTCTGCATCGCGCCCGCAGAGTCACCAGCATCCCCAGCTACCGAGGGGTCATCCATCCCGTCTGCGGCCACCGCCGCTACCGCGGCCTGCTGGAAAACGCTCACGGCGCGCAGGTATAACATCATAAGATTCACGAATTGCCCCCCCCCCTCACGTCAGCGCCAACTGCCGTTTCGAGAGCGGGGTGCGCTCTCGCGAATAGGGCAAACACGCCGAGTTGAAATCCCCACGCATCATTAAGTCCGTCATTTTGTCGCCCAGTGGACCTCGGTTCTCTGCTGCCCAAGCTAGAGAACTGTCCGCGCTTTGTCGCCTCTTCACGCGGGTGCGTGCCACTTGACAAAAACCACGTCGCAGGCCGACCTGCCTTCCCCTTCACAGAGCCTCGGTTCGCGCATTCCTTCACCGTAGCATTCTCGCATGCATCGGGCAGGCGCTTTAACATGTCGGCAATGATCTCCCGCCCCGCTTTGCGCGGTTCGCATTTCCGCCTCGCGGCCTGCACCGCGCCTTCACTGAAGCGTCTCTCTTCCTGGCCCTGCCCCTCGCCAAGGGAGGCGGCTGCGCCGCCGTCGCCATGGTTCTGCCCCCGGAGAGGAAAGCTTCAAGTTGAGCAAACGATTGATTGCATGAAATAGGTTGCATCGCATACGCTGCACGTCGTATATTGCACCACATAGACTGCAATAACCTACGTTTTGGAATGAACACAGGTTAACATTGCTATCTTCATCATCCACATAATCAGAATCATCACCACCATCGCCGTCACCAGCATCATCACCACCATCACCACCATCACCATCACCATCACATCATCATCAGCATCATCAGCATCATCATCATCATCATCACCATCATCATCACCATCACCATCATCATCATCATCAGCAGCATCATCATCATAATCATCATCATCATCACCATTACCGATCACCGTCACCATTATCATCCCCATAATCATCGCCATCATCATCACCATAGTCATCCTTACCACCACCACCATCAACATCATCATCATCATCATCATCATCATCATCATCACCATCGTGATCATCATCATCATCATCGTCATCTCCATCTCCACCTTCATCTTCAGAGTCGTAATCGTCAGCATCATCCATCGTCCATCAACCATCGTCACCATCATCATCATCAGCATCAGCATCAGCATCAGCATCAGCATCATCAGCATCATCAGCATCATCATCAGCATCATCATCATCATCATCATCATCATCATCATCATCATCATCATCATCATCATCATCATCATCATCATCATCATCATCAATTGAGCGTAGAGTAGAGCTGGTGACCACCATCACCATCACCTCCCCTCCCCCGTCAGCCCCACGAGGCCGAGGCAGCGGGGCCCTGGGCCGCCTGGCAGCCGGGAGGCAAGGGCGGCGAGGCCCCGGTCGGTCAGGTTGACGTTGCCTCGCCGCGCGCGCGGCAGGACCATGGCAACGACTGCAGCGGCGTCGGCGGCGGCGACGGACGACGACGGCGGCAGCGTCGACGACGACGGCAGCGGCGGCGGCGGCCACGGCGACAAAGGCGGCGATGGTGCAAACACCACGGAAGTCCACGGGAAGCGTTTCAGAGCCGGTCTGTGATGAGGACAAACGAACCTGGATACGAACACGTCGGGGATTTCTGAAATCTGGCGGGTCTGGAGGGTATGCGGGGCGCCGCAGCCGTTCCAAAGCGTAACGGAACGCCCTGAAATCGTTTCGATGGGGGATCGTCCAAAGGGACCGTCCTGGGGCTCTCTGGCAAGCTTGTCCAACCTGTATGAATCGGAACGCCGTCCAAAACCAAGCAAGCTACAGAAGCCGGCCAAACGGCAGGCAAGCTTAATCGAGTATCTGCAACCTGTTGTGCGTTGTCATTTGATCATTCCTGAAAGAGATATCAGACTTAAGTGCAGGGATTGCTCCGTACTGAAGCAGTGAATGAGCCGATGTCATAGTCTTGACGAGTCCAGCTGCGAGTGCCGCCCTCAGTCTGACCAGCCAGCGGTTGAATCAGAGAGGCAATTCAAACATCATCCTCCTCCTCTTCCTCCTCCTCGTTCTTCTATTCCCCCTCCTAATCCTCCTCCTCCTCCTCCTCCTCCTCCTCCTCCTCCTCCTCCTCCTCCTCCTCCTCCTCCTCCTCCTCCTCCCCCTCTCCACCTTCCCCCTCCCACTCCTTCGCCGCCGCTTCCTCCTCCCCCGCCTCCTCTCCCTCTTCCTCCTCGTCTTCCTCCTCCTCCTCCTCCTCCTCCTCCTCCTCCTCCTCCGCCTCCGCCTCCTCCTCTTCCTCGTCCTCCCCCTCCTCCTCCTCCTCCTCCTCCTCCTCCTCCTCCTCCTCCTCCTCCAAGCCCCTTATTGCCCGAGAGGGCCATCCGCGCGCGCGCACGTGGAGGGGCCGCAGCGCGGGGGTGCCATGATGGAGTGATGCTGGTGACGGAGAAGGAGGTCGAGCTGTACGCCTCCTACAGCTTGGCGATCGCGCCCGACTCGGGCGCTGTGCTCGGGCGCCCGGTTCGTGGCCTCGAGGTCTGGGCCCGGCAGGAGCTCGAGTGGAAGGTGGTCGTCTGTGAGGATGCAGGGCGACCACAAGAGCATCGGCTACGGGATTGAATACACGCTGCCGAGCAGCCGGAAGCAGGACTGCATCCAGGAGGTTAACTTCGCGGCAGCGGTCAGAGCAAGCCACGCGACCAGGCCGCGGAAACCGCCCAGGCACAAGCGGGTGACCGAGACGCTGGTGGAGAACTGGCGTCAAGCGGCAGCCAAGCGAGAGACAGCCATGAGAGCCTTCGAGGAGTTGAAGAAGACCAGGCAGAGGTGTTGCGAGGAGAGTGGCATGACGAAAACCAAGCTGGAGGAGGACCAGGTCTGCGGCTCGCCGCCCCGCAAGAGCAGCAAGGTGATCGCAAGAGCAGCAAGGTGGTCCCGAAGTGAAAGTGCCTGCGACCGAGCTCCCGCTTCACGCACTTCGGCGTCAGGCAGGAGTGCAAGACCTGCTCGGCGATGGCGCCCTGGGCCTCGCTGCTGGTGCAGGACCTCCAGGCGGCGAAACGCTTGGGCGACCGATGCACGATCCAGCGCCTGGAGTACCACATGAAGATGCAGGAAATGATGTTTCCGCAGCAGGCGGACCAAATGAGCGACTTGGACACGATGTTGCACAGCATGATGATGAGCAGCGACCTGGTCAACAGCGGAGCTGGCCGTCGAGCAGTGCAGAGAGCAGTACTACATAGGCGACGAGGGGGTGAGCTTACCCACTCAGGACGGAGTACCTGAGGAAGATGCCTACCTGCTCGAGCGAGAGAAGCAGCTACGCCTCATGAGCGTTGCGTTCAGGGCGTGGGCTGGGGAGCTCCAGGATTAGAATAACAAGGAGAATCATGACAAGACGGGCAAGGGGTTTAGGGACGCCTCGAGAGCCAGCGGTGGGTCTCAGCGCAAGACGAAAGCCAAGGAGACAGAGGAGGCGCCCGAGGCCATCACAGAGGAGCAGTTCATTAGTACGATGGCGCAGCCTCCTGGACAGCGGCGCGTCCCAGGAGGTCAAGGCTGCTGCGCTTCGACATGCAGCCGAGCGCTTGGGAGTCCCAGTCGCGGGACGCCTGGGCACGAGCTGAGGGGGGCGGCCCTGTGCGTGTGCGCGCTTCCTGTCGTAACGGCGGGGTCTGCCTCGAAGCTTTGCGGCGGCAGCCTTCGGGTGGCCGCTGGGTCTCTTGCGTCGCCACGGCCGGCCTCGCCTCGCCTGCGGCCGCCGTGCTGGCGGACTGTCGCCACGCCGGATTCCCTCGTGTTGCTTGCTGGGCATCGGCTCAGCACGGCTTCTCGGCTGTGGAGGGTATCGTCAGCACCCCCAGCACCCTCAGCGCCCTCCTCCTCCTCCGTCTCACCGAATCCCAGACCTGTCCTGGGGCGTTCCTAACCATGACCGCGAAGGAAACCGACCGTGGCGACCAGGGTCCCCCCAGAAGGATGCAACTACGGCAGAAACCATGGGACTTTTTCTCCCAACTCACACCGCCTCCCTCTCACATCCTCCAGCCCTGTCTCCCTCCTCCCTCCCCCCTCCTTCCTTCCCTCCGTCCCTCCATCCTACTCTGCCTGGGGGTCCCCAAACGATGTGGTGGCAGACCGTGCGGTGACCTCGGAATCCTACCTCACCGCAAGGTCCACCACGGTACGGTTTTGAGTCCTGGCAGGCTACAGTCGCCTAAGATCGACTACGCGCAAGAGTGACACTAGGTAAGAGTGACCTTTGGTGCGCGGCCTCTTGAGGACCAGGGGGAGACCAAACACAAGCGCGCAAGACGCGACTGTCGCATCGCGGTCGGCGATCGGGGGAGCCCATTGGCCCCCACCAAAGGTCACTCTGGCGAAAGGTCACTCTTACGCCCAGTCGATAAGACATCCTCGCACGACGACCCCTAGGTCCGACATCGTGTTCGGACCTTCAATCAGTCCTACCCCCACTCCCGCCCGCACCGCTCCTAGAGAGCACTTGATCTCGAGCTCCTCCAGCGCCGCCGGCATTCCTCGCCGCGTCCGGCGGGGGGGGCAGAGTGTGGCGGGAAGGCGGCGGAGGAGGAGGCGGAGGAGAGGGAAGATACGTCGGCGTGGCCGAATCAAAAATGTCACAAGATCTGACGCCGCGGCCGCATGTACAGTGCGGGCGCGGCCGCGAGAAACCCTCACAAGAAACCCTGCCCTGAAGACCCGCGCGCAAGGTGTGACTGGGGGACGCCCAGGGCGCTCTGAATGCAGCAGTTTCTTCAACGGCCGCGGGAAGGCACCGCGCAGGGCGAGGAGCGAAGAAACTCAGGGCACCCTGAAGAAAAGCACACGGTTTCTTGACGCGCTTCGCCACCGTAGGCCGCCTGAGAGCGGCGCGTGGCCACAGGGTCGCCCTCGATCTCCGGCCCTGCGCCAAAGAGAAGCTGGGAGTCCAAGAGCGAACACACTCGTGAAGCGCGGGTCCCCTGCGAGAGATGGCTGGGACGAAGACGGAGCGGGCAATACGGCCGTATCGGGAGATTGTATAAGGGTCTGGGGGGCCTAAGGATGACCCCGCCCTCAGGACAACCCAGGAATCAGCGCGAGATCCAACGCATGCATGCTGTTTGTCGCCAGCACAACAGAACAACAGCGAAAACCATGTCCCGTGGCGCAGGGCAACGCATCGTGATACTTGCGGATGCGAAGGGGGGGCCTGGGCATAAGGATACTTGGGGGGAGCCGGGCCAGAACGGGGATACTTGGAGGTGCTGGGCCAGAGCAGGAAATAAATCCGCCGATCCGGCGTGTGAGTTTCTGAGAGCGAGGGCTTGAGCTTGCTCAAGCTTCGCTCTGGAGTGGAAGGGGGAGGGGGGCGCGCGCTTTTACAGAGAAGCCCTCTGTAGATGCGCTCAGGGAGTGGCGCGCGGGATTTGCTGTTTTTACAAAGGGATCCTCCGTAGATTCGCTCATGGGCATGAGTTGCTTGCGATATCTGTTGGTTCTACAGACGGGCCCTCTGTAGATGCGCTCGACGAGCGGCGGGTTTGCTGCTTTTACAGAAGGACCTTCTGTATATGCGCTCAAGGGCATTGCAGATTTGCTGCTTTTACAAATAGATTCTCTGTAGCTTGTATGCGCTCAGAAGGTTGCGAATTCGCTGCTTTGACAGAGCGGCCCTCAGTATATGCGCTCAAGATATGGCGCTCAGAAATGTAGATCCTCTGCATTCGTATCGGATCCTCCCCCCGGGAACTTTTTCTGGGGCCCTCCGACGACGGCGGCGGCGACGGCGACGAAGTCCAGACTCCTCCAGGGCCCCCCCACTAGGCACTCCCCAGCGCCCTTTCTTTCGATTTGGATATTTCCGGAAGTCCCGTCAGCTCGTTGTTCGAAAGCCCCGGGGGTCCAAAAAACACATCCCCCGACTGCGTCGCACTCCTCGGCGCTCCCTAACGCCATTCGTGTCAATTTGGCGATGTGGACATTTCTAGAGGTCTTGGACATCCGTTTGTGGAGGTCCCGGAGGTCCAAAAAACACATACCCCCTACTCCATCGCACTCCCCGGCGCTCCCCGGCGCCATTTTCCGACTCGGAGATTTCCCAGAATTCCTGAAAATCGGCATGGGAAGTCGGGGTCCACAAACGCTTTTTCCCATGGAAACCCGAGTCGGGGGCCTCCTCAAGCCATGCGCCGTCGCCGCGCCGTCGCCGCCGTGCCCGCCGTGTCCTGCGTGGAACGGCACACGCGCGCGCACGTGCGCACAAGTGTGTCCTGCGCAGGCAACTAATTACGCACGATGACGTGGATAGATGTGGTTCGATTTTCAGTGTCCGCGCGTGGTCTCGCGCGCTTCCGTCAGAACGGTGTCGCGACCACTTCGTGCTAATTGTTAGTAGAAACCTCGATTACCTCACGCGAGCGCGGGTGTCGCTCCATCCGCCGAGCGGTGTCGCTACAACCCTATGCTCACATGTTGCAGAGACCAGGACTACCTCACGCAAGTGCGCGCTCCTTCGCTTCGTCGTGGAATTCCTTCGCCTTCTTGCACAAGGGTGTTCCTCTAGCAAAACTCGCGTTGCCTGGCAACCCTAATTCAGCCCGGGCCTTCGCGACACTGTCCTTCCACGATTGCGTATACTTCGCCTTATCCACGCCAGCTGCCTTTGCTCTCGAACTTTTCGGCCTGACCTTCCGGAGCTGTTTTGCTGTTTCATCAGTGTTCCGCAACACCATCGACACGTGTTTCCCCTGCAAAGCCTGCCCGTCGACACCCGCTGCAGCTATGCATCGTTCTAAGCGTTCCAAACTCGCAAGAGCACTGTGGCCTACGCGATTCCAGTCTGCTTCAGGTTTCCCCTCCCCGTTATCACACCCACAGCAATACGTAATATTTGTGTGCCGCGATAATGCCTTCTCAGCCTCGCTTGTCCGCTGTGGCCCGGCATGTTTTGAAACAAGATGCAATACTTCCAAGTGCCCTACGAGGGAGGCACGCAGATGCCTTTTCAACTCATTTATGAGCTTCGCCAGTCCAACCTTCTTGTTCACCACGTGTGGCCTCCGAGTCGCGGCCGGCTCGCCCTCAATCTCTGCATCCTCTTGCACCGCGGTGCCGCTTGAGGCTGCCATGGCTCTGCGTTTCGCGGGCGCCTTCCCTTTCGCCACCGCCATTGGGATACAGACTTGAAAGCAAAGGTGTGGAATAAGCTTGGACCTCGACGGCTACAGGCCCACAACACTGAACCTGCCTCTCCCCCGCCTCCTCCTCTAACTCTTCCTAACCGTCGTCACCACGTCACCACCCTTCTCGTCCCTATCATCCTATTTGTCATTATCGAAGACACCACCATCGTCATCCTCATCATCGTCATCCTTATCATCGTCACCCTCATCATCATCATCGTCGTCATCCTTATCATCGTCATCGTCGTCATCAGCATCGTCATCGTCGTCGTCATCGACATCATCATCATCATCATCATCATCATCATCATCATCATCATCATCATCATCATCATCATCATCATCATCATCATCATCATCATCATCATCATCATCATCATCATGATCGTCGTCAACGTCATCGGCATCAGCATCATCATCACCAACAGCGTCTTCATCACCATCCACCGCCATCAACAACCTCATCAATTGGAGCTGCTGCAACTGAGAAGGCTCGACTGGCACGGTCGCAGGACTTGCCGCAGGCAGCTGGATACCTTGTGCGCCGCAGAAAGCGTTACGGAGAGGGGTAAGTGGGCGGGGGGGGGAGGTGGGAGAGGAGGGGAGGGGAGAAAGGGGGGAGGGTTGTGGGGAGGGAGGGCGGGGGAAGGAGGGAGGGGAAGCAGGGTGGGGGGGAGGGATCTGGGGAGGGAGAGGGGGAGGGAGGGAGGGAGGAAAACAGGGAGGGAGGGAGAGAAGAGGCATAATCGAATCGCAACACGCCGAACGCCCCGGATCGGCGGCACAGGCCGGAGGCCATTACAATATCAAGCAAGCGCAGACTTCAATTGTTTCGGAGCGAAAAGGCGTTGGGTGTAAAGCAGGGGAAGGGGATACCGTAAAACATCGGCAACCAAAATTATATGTTTGAGTAAGTGTTCGGTTGGTCGTCGGCGCACGTCGGTGAAACGCTGTTATCCCCGCCCCCCCGAGACCCCTCTCTGGCACGACCCTTTTACAATCCGCCAACCGGGGGTCTTTTGCAGTTTAATGGCCTTCGTCTGGGCATCGAGCATCGATCTCCCAGAGGTGTGAAGGGACGTCCCAAGGTACTTGTGATGGACCACGATGCCGCAGCGCCTCGGTGTCAAGCCCAAGGTCGCATGCTTCATCCCGAAGCGGGTAGTATGCCGCGCGGGCGCCCGAGCCGAAGAGGCGAAGCACGATGGCCATCTTCTCGGGGCCGAAATCTATCCTGAGGCCGTAAGGACAAAAATCCATCTGGTACGAAACATTGACGGCCTGCGTGAGGTTGCCTAGGAGCTGTGCTGGTGTTTTGCCTTCGATGAGGATGATGATGGTGGTGATGATGATGACGATGCTGCTGATGACGATGGCGATGATGATGGTGATGATGATGATGATAAGAATGATGATTACGACCATGATGAAGATCGGCATGAAAAATAATTGTCAGATGAACATTAATATTGATAGTGAGATGGAGATGAAGAGGATGAGGATGAAGGTGTCGATGAACACGAATCGTGAGCCAATGATGAGGATACATATATATATATACATACATACATATGGAAATGAATGCGCACATGAAGATCAAGATTAACATGAAGACGGTGCAGACAAACATGATGATGTTGGTCATGAATATGATGATGATGCTGATGATACTGCTGGTTATGATGATGTTGCTGATGATGATGATGCTGCTGGTGCTGGTGCTTATGCTGATGATGCTGATGCTGATTAAAAGAATGATAAAGAAGAAAAAGAAGAAGACGATCGGGGGACGAGAGGGAAAAGCGGGAGGAGGAAATAATCAGGAAGGAGGACAACGGGGAAGTCGATGGGGGACGCGGAAAGGGAGGAAGAGGACTGTGGAGAAGGGGGGCGGAAGTCAAGCACGACCACAGCCACGACGACGGCGGCGTCGACGGCAACCACGACGGCGACAAAGACGGCGAAGGTAGCGGCACGGTAACGACGGCGACAGCGACCGCGCCTGCGGCCAACGCGGACATGCCCCCGTCGCCGATCCAGCTGAACGTCAGGTCGAGTGACCGGAGGTCTGGCGGCAGCCTCACGCGGCGCCAGGACCCCACCACGACGACGGCGGCCGCGATAGCGAGGTGGCGGAAGCGGTTGCGATGCGGGGATACATCCATATCTCCGTACCTATCGCCTGGTGGCCCTACGCTCTGGGACCCCAGCGGGTTGTGGACGTATACATATAATCACATATATATAAAAATACATACGTATAACTACATGTTATACATATACATGTATATATATATGTATATGATCGAACGTAGCCATGTACATATACATGTACGCATACACGTACGTTGACATATGCATGTTCGAACATATAGGTCGACATATACAGTTACGTATGCATGATCATGAACATGCACATGTGCATGTGCACAAACATATGGCTGTACAGACACATGCTCATAACATGCACACATACACATGCACACATATACGCGTATATACACATACATATGTATATACATATAGATAGATGTATATACATATACATATACATATAAATATACATATATATACGTATACATATACGCGTACACATACACATACATGTACACATACACATACGCATGCATATGCATATACGTAGGCATATACATATGTATAGACATATACATATACGTACACACAGACATAGTTAGGTATATATACACATATACATAAAAACATTCACATACATAGACATATCAGTATACATATACATATACATATACATATACATATACATGTACATACACGCATACATAAACATGCGGCGCGACGCTGCCGTGGCCTCTCAAGTCCCATACCCCGAGCCTACAGAGATCACGCAGGACACTTCGCTGTTCGGGAAGCGCCCGCCACGGGGCTGCCAACGCGCCCCGACACTGCCGGGTCGGAAAGCGGGGAATCGTGGCCAAGGGCACTGCCCCCAGGAAGTCCCCCTTGTCCCAGATCGTCCGAGTCATCTCGGGCGTCATCCGTCCGGGTCCGCTTTACCAGTGGGGACCGAATCGAGAAGCTGATCACCTCCCGGGGTTGTTTGGCCGCGGGCGTACTCGACGCGAGTGTGTCGTTGGGCGAAAAGAAAGACGGATGCGAGTAGCCATCGCGCATGGACTCTGAATCCAACAAGATTGTTGGGGCAGACGTTCGCGAGGCCCTCAGGCCACTGGCCTCGGGATGCCCCCCTGGTTTGCAGAGCGGGGTCGCAATAGGCTTCGAGCGTGGGGCAGACATCATCGGGTCACCTTGGTAAGACGAGATCACGATGGGAGCGGCGCCGTCAACTGCTTCGTCCGCAGTGCCCGACCGATGGCATCGCATAGGGTTGGTCACCCCCGAACAGGGGATACAGTCCGTCCCGACTTGCGTCAGACCACGCACATTCGTCATCGGCAGAATCGTCGCCCGACATGGGTGTATCCGGCCGTCAGGTTTCGTGGTCACTGTTGGAAACGCCAACCGACACAGGAGCGTTGACGCTGACAATCTTTGAAGAGCGCAAAACAAGGCCCGTGACGATGTGTGGGGGCGTGAAGGCGATGTTCTCGCCACCGCTAAGCCGTGGCCTTGTTCGGGAGATCCGAACACATCGCTTTTCACGCCAGGAGGCACTGGCTCCCAGCCCCGTGGGAAAACTGACGGATGATAACCCGTGTTTTGCCCGTCGATCGTCACATCAGGCAAAAGGCTTCTTCAGGAACATCGGGCTGTGATGTTCCAGTGCATGCTATGTGTGCACATTTTGGTCAAGGGATGCTGTGAGATCCCAGCCGATTGACGACGTACCTCTGGCCATGGCCAGTGTCCGTCAAACGGATTTGGACGCCCGAAATGGGCACGGAAAAAATGTGTACAATGCCGAACAACACATGGCCGCTGTTGGGCAGGCGGCCGCCTGTCTCGAATGGACACAGGCCGCGGCGGCGCGGACAGCAAGTCCTGTTCAAAATGAACAGGAACTGCTGTTGGGCATGGTACCCATTCTTCCCGTACCCATTTCTTTCGTACAGAATGGCCAGTGTCCGTCAAGCGGATCTGCTGTGGTAGGCACGTGCGGTACAGCCGGCCAGCCGAGAGGGGAGGCCGGGCGCGCGCGCGCGCGTACGTCTTCACCTGCACTCGGTCTTGGTTGGGCAGGACGCGCGAGAGGACACGAGACCCTTCCAAGGACCACATTGCCATAGGAATGCAGGAGGCATGGGTCGCGAGATGCAGGACACGAGGGTGCTCTTGATCTGGCAGGGTCGACCTACGAATCCGGGCCGACTGTATAAGCAGATGAGCGGCTGCGGAGCTAGCTCAGTCCATCGCGTCCCTAGCCCTTCCAACCTTCTGTTGGAGAGGATACGCAAGGCAGCTCTGCTCCTCCTCCTCCTCCTCCACATGCCCCTTTTGGAGCCCACCACAGGTCCATCCTGGCCAGCGCTTCATTCAGGATCGATCTCCGACGGCCCTTGGACCCAAAGCTGGCCTCCAGGGACCGAGTCGCGAAGAGCCTCCCAATGGATCTCCAAAGAAGCCGAAAGACTGCCGACACTAACATAATACAGTATCAAGGCGATTGAGAACTTACCCAGACATCCCAAGATCTGTTTTGTTTCAATCCCGGCGGTTTTACTTTGAGTTCGACTTCCGGGGCCGCTTCGTGCCCCAGGACCACGAAACACGGATCTGGGACGAAAAAATATCCCCTCGGAGAGGATCGGGACCTCCGGGGCGGCGGACTGGAAAAATCTCTTCGGATGTCTGGGTATTCCGGATTGCGTAAAAAAAAACGCATCCTCCCTTTGAGCCGCTGGGGGGGAGCGGGCGCGCGCTGTCGGGACGGACAGCGGAGGGGTGTTAGCGGAGGAGCAGGGGGAGGAGGAAGTGGAAGAGGAGGGAGGGATGGGGGATGGGGAAGCCTTCCTTAATCACCCTCCTCCTTGGATTATCAAGACATCTAGAGTTAGCGTTCGGAGGTCTGCGCGGATCTATTTTTCGGCACGCGCCGGAGACTCCCGCTCCCACCTGGGGGCAGCGTTGGGACGGCGGTCAGGACGGCCCCCCCGACCAGGCGCTGGAGAGGAAGAGGAAGAAGAGGGAGGGGAGCCGGAGGTAGGAGGGAACGAGAAGGGCGAGGAGGGAGAAAGAGCATGAAGATGAGGAGGAGGCAGGAAAGGGCCCCTTTGGCGCGCTGGAGAAACGGCACTGGGAGGGAGTTCCACCGTCGACCCAAGAGGCCCGCGGGAGGGGGGGGGGGTCCGACCCACCCAGGGAGGGCGGAGTCTGAAACGCGGACAGAGTCTGAACCCAACGATCCTGGCATTGAATCGGCGGCCAACTCCAGCCCCTCTCCTGCAACAGTCGCAGACAAGGACTCGCATCCGCTGGGATCAATCCTCACATCTGAGACCTCTTCGATGCAGAGCACTCCGCGCTTCTCAGCCATCCGGTGCGCACAAGGAAGCAAACAAATTAAACAGCAACCGATGTCGCCATCGCACGATCCAAGCACACTTCTAGCCAGCGCTCCCACGGCGAGCGAGCGCGGGCGTCCCCGCGCCGACCATCAGCGCACCCGCGCTCCCGAGCTTCCAGCACGGCCGAGGCAGGCAACCGATGGCCAAAATGGCCAAGTGGGCACCAAGGCGGCCCAAGATGGCCCAAGGAGCCCCGACTCCCAAACCGTGATTACAGTCAACCAGTATAGCAAGGCTGCGCGGTAAGGATGCAAGGGCCTTGGACGCCCATTTCGAAGCTTTTCGAGCGGGGCGCGGCCAACGAAAATGGCCAAGGAGGGAACGAGGAGGCAAGGAGGCAAGGGTACCCTTATTATCTGGGCGTCCTGCAGCTCAAGACGGCCCTACAAATGGACGGTTCAAGAGGGCCTGCAGACGGCCCAGGACGGCCCCAAAAAAGTCCCAAGCTGCCCCCAAGGTATGCGGAAGGATCCGAGACGGCCATAGAGACCCTATCCACGGCCCAAGGCGGCCCCAAGAGACGTCCCGCACTGACAGAATGCCCCAACCCAAGATGGCTCAGGAGGATCCCAAGATGGCCCAGGAGGGCCCCAGTGGACCCCAAGACACAGGAGCCCAAGACAGCCCAAAGACGGCCCTATAAGAGCTTCTCCTCAAACGAAGAAAGGAGGTACCAGACCTTGGGTGGCCATCGTCAGTAGAAAGATCGCGAGGGCTGCGCCGAGCAGGGTCGGGGGGCTCGGCGTGACACGAGCCCCGCAAGGGAGGCAGACAAGGAAGAGGAGGAGGAGGAGGAGGCGGAGGAGCATGTCCCGGACCTCCCCCCCATGCATCCAGCGCGCCTTTTCGCCAGCGAGGCCACGCCACTGTCCGTCAGGCCGTCGCACGAGGCGAAGTTCAGCTGCAGCCGCCGGAGCGAGCCTCGGACGCCCTCCTCCTTCTGTTTGTCCTCTTCCCCGCCCTGCCCCTCATCTGGCCTCGGTTTTCTGGTCCCACTGCGCTGTCTCCATCAAGCCTGCCCTCATCGCTCGCCCCGCCCTCTTGCTTTTGCCTCCTCGTTGGCGTCCTCGTCGTCCTCCTCTTTCCCTCTTTCTCTCTCTCTCTCTCTCTGTCTCTCTCTCTCCCTCTCTCTCTCTGTATCTCTATATATATATAGATATATGTGTACATGCATTTACATAGATGTACACATATATGTATACATACCAGAACCATCGCGCGCGCTCCGCGCGCGATGTGTCTAGCAGGCCCCAGGCCTTGACGAGTTCACTGCTCCAATGAAGCAGTGGATCAAAGTCCGCGCACGTCAGTCCGCAGTCCAGAAGGCCTTCGGGGACGATGGCTGCGAGGGGGGCGAAGGCCGGACGCATCGGGTGCCCAGAAGGCCGTCTGTGTTTTAGGGGCGTCTTGGGGGAGCCTGTTGGGGCGTGCCGTCGTCGTCGTCGTCGTCGTCGCCTCTTGGGGCGCGCCGTCGTCGTCGTCGTCGTCGTCGTCCTCTTCTTCGTCGTTTCGTCGTCTTCGTCGTCTTCGTCGTCGTCGGTTCAAGAGGGCACTTGGTGCAACTTTGTGCAAAACGATCTGCGGGGGGCCGCGAGAAGGCGATCAGTCATGTTCCCAGTCAACGTCCCAGACAGCCCTCCAGTAGCGTGATGGTACTTCGGAGCCACCCGAGACTCTCGGGCCCATGATGAACCATGTCCCCGGAAGGCTTTCTGGGACATGATCTGTTGGGGTAATTCTCTTGGGGGGCCTTTTGGGCGTTCCTTGGGGGCCCTTTGTGGGTCTCCGGAGACTCTCGGGCCCCTGGAGACATGATTTGTTGGAGTGTGTTGGGGGGCCTCTTGGGCGTTCCCTGGGAGCCCCTTGGGGGTCTCTTGGGGCTTCCTGGGGGCCTCTTGGGCGCCTCACGGGACTTCGTGGGAGCCTCTTGGTGGCATCCGTCTGGGGGCCTTCTGGGGGTCTCTAGGGCCAGAGACCTCGAAATATCTGTTGGCGGTCCCCCTCTGGGCTCCCGCTTCGGGGCCTCGTGGGCCGTCTTGCAGCGATCTGAAGGGCCTCCGAGGCCGTGAGGGAGCGCTGGGAGCGTGTTGGAGTCCTCGTCGGCCGTCGGGACCGTCTTAGAAGGGCATGGGGCTTCTCTGACGGCTTCCTGGGGCTTCTAACAAGCTTCCATCCCTTCCTGAGAAGCCACCTGGCCTCTCGGAAACCCGCCCCCCCTCGCCACCCCCTTGAGCCAGCCGCTAACTTGAGGGGCAACGTTGGGGAGGACTATCTCAGGGAAGGAAACATCGACCTTGAGTCGGCGATACATCGCCGATGGATCGGCATTAAGCCCCTCGACAGCGAATCTGGACATTCCTGGGCAGGGCGGGCTATCTGGCCCCTGTCGGCAAGGAGCAGGCGATTGTGGGTCGATGCATCCCCCCAGAGCTCATCCTGGTGCATGTGGTGGTTCCCGGGCCATAAGTCGAGGCTCTGGCTGCAGTTCAGGACCATCCAGGCACCCCCCAGAACGCCCTCGGTTGGGCGCCCGAATTATCTGGGGTAACTCGGGTCCGGGGAAACTCTGGTTTGGATTCCCGAGAAACGAACCCGAGTTAGCCCTGACCCGAGGTACCCCTGACGATCTGGGGCTCTGGGCGCCAGAGTTATCTGGGGTAACTCGGGCCCGGGGTAACTCGGGCTCGGGTTCCCGAAAAACGAACCCGAGTGAGCCCTGACCCGGCGAGAGACTCGGGGCTCGGACTCGGCGAGAGACGGCTGCCGGAGCCCGCCCCGAGGCTGGCAAACCGTCGGGCGACGTCAGAAAACCTCGAAAACCTCGAAGCCGCTCGCCCTGCCCCCCCCTGAGCCTGTCCTCCCCCCCTCTGCTCGGGGGCGGGCACAAGAGGGGGGCGTCCAAGATTGAGCAGGGAAGGACCGTCCCGGCCCATAGGCCTAGTACGACATGTTCGTAGAACCCGAAAAAAATCTAAGCACACAAACAATGCTCTTAGAACATAAACCCGATGAGTTCAAAAAGACAGTCGCAGCCCGAAATGCTCGAATGACATTTGGCGCAGACCACAAAAGGTTATTAGCACATTCTTTGGTGGGCCTGTAGGCAAGCCGAGACGCTTCGCCACTGCTTGACAAGAGGGGGGGCGCACATCATGGCCTGCGGCTTGTGCGCGGCCCCAGGGGGGGGGCTGGGGACGTAATGAAATAAGAGGAGGCACTGTGAAACCCGGGGAGATATCGTGCCCCCCGCCCTGATGTCCACCCCCACCCGTAGTCAGCACCCCCGTCTTGGCCGCCCCCGACTTACGTCGCCCCAGACAGCGTCTGTCGGGGACCTTCTGACCCGGGTCAATCCAGACCCTGGTCAGTCAAGCCTTGCCGAATCCTGTAAGATCCTGCAAGACCCTGCACCCAAACCCGGGTCCATGCGAAGGATGCCGCAGGATCCTGCGCCCAAACCCGGGTCAGTGCGGCCCTGGCCTTGAAGGATCCTGCAAGATCGGGAGCTCTGGCTGACCCCCGTTCGCATGGACCCCCGTCTCTTGAGCCCCGAGTCTGGTCTCGCACGGAGGCCGGCGGCACCTGGGAGCTGCTGGGCGAGCGCCGTCAGCCCCTCGTTGCCCACCCGGACGCAGAAGCAGAAGTTCAGGTCCAGGTCGGTCAGGGACGTCGGCAGGCCTGCCGCCGCCCTCCGGGGGAAGGGTCAGGTCGGGCCTGTCCCTGCGCAGGAGGGAAACTCAGAAATTGTCAAAAAATAGTACATGATTCTTTGTTTGGGATATCTGTTGGGTAAAAAGACTTTGCGCCACAAAACCGCCTGTAGGGGACATGCCCGACCAAAGAGGAGGGCCAGGGGTGCACCGAAGAGGCAAGAGAGCCCAGAATCGAGTCGACAAATCGGAACTGTGATCGAACGAAATCGGATCGGCAGAGATCGGCAGCAGACTCGGGAGAAGTCGAATCGGCAGAAATCGGCAGGCTGGTAGGCTTTCACTGAGAAATCGGAACTCGAACATGAACCCTAGATCGAATCGAATCGAAGTTGGAAGCCAACGAAAACGAATCGCATCGAATCGGGGGAATCGGAACGGGCCCTGAAGGGCCCTTCTTCTGTGACGTCCCCGCGGTTCGTCGCGAGGTAGTTCCTGGAAGCCTGGCGCAGCAGCCTGGGGCCCAATCTACGTCGAATCCACGTCGGAGTGAGCTACGTCGGGCTCACGTCGGATTGCGTAGGGTTTACGTCGGATTCAAATCGGATTTACGTTTTACTTCCGTCGGGGCATCGCCAAGCGAACGTCGTCCAATACCTGGCGGGGCGGACGTCGGGATTAGTAATGAAAGTTTTGCGCGCCGCGCGAGGCCCCAACGAGACGCCTCACAACCCCCTCCAATGACATCCTCGCGGTTCGAACTTCCAGCTTCGAGGATCGAGCTTCGAGCTCTTGGGGGGTTGTCATCTCTTTCGGGCCTTAGAAAGCGCCCCCATCGCCACGGCTGGGGCCGCCCAACAATTCTGGTCGGAACGCACCCCCGGATATATCTGGACGTCGACCGTTGACATCCAAACGTAAACCTCCTCGCGTCGCGAGCGGATCACGACGGAAGTGTTTGCCAATTCACCTTTGCGGACCTTCAACAGGCCCCTGGACCGCCGGAAGCTGGTTTACGGGAAGGGGCTTCGGCCTTTGAACCGCGGTCTAGAACAAAATAACCTGGCGCAGGAAATCTGGGTCCCCACCTTCTCGTGTCTCCTCCTCCTCCTCCTCTTCCTCTCTCCTCTTCCTCATCATCATCGCCAACCTCATCAGCATCACCATAAATGTCAGAGAAAAAGACAGAAAAAACAGCATGATCCTCAGCATCATCGTCATTCCAATCATAATAGCAGCCGCCACCACGAGTACCATCATCGCCATCATTGCCATCAGCATCGTCATCCGCATCCTCATCTTCATCATCATCCTCATCATCTTCACTTGAATACTCATCCGCATCCTCAACGTCATCATCAACAACATCAGCATTATCATCAGCAGCAGCATCCTCATCCGTCCCTTCCTCATCTGGGCCCCTCCTCCTCCTCCATATTGATCAAATGTTTATTTTGGCTTTGACAATTTCGGTTGTCCTTCGACTCGCGCTGGAACTTCCACGATTTCTCCGAAACCTAAGGCCCAAATAAACGGAAGCAAAGCATAAAAGGAAGCAAGCGACAACCATGGGCATGCCCACGGTTGTCGCTGTCACCCTTGGGTGGCAACCCTTCCCTGCTGAAGGATGTCGCTAGCCCCCCCACCCCACCCTCTCTCTCTCTCTCTCTCTCTCTCTCTCTCTCTCTCTCTCTCTCTTAGCTCGCACAGCGCTTATACGATGTCAGAGTCTCGGGAGAAAGCAGCTCGCACCGACGCCATAGCTCCCCCCCTCCCTCCACCGCGGGCCACAGAGGGATGAGCATTCACCGCTTGCCTTGCCAGGCAGCGCGCCATAATCTATCCCAGCCGCCCCATTTCCCACCCTTGTCGCGATCGTCGCGCGACTTGCCGCCACCGCGGCCGCGGGCGCCCTCGCGTTCCGCTGCCCATGCCATTGCACTTTGCACCAGGAATACGCTGCCCACGCCTCATTCTCCAAGTCCAGCCGCGCCCCTGCGTTGGCATCCCGCCGTCTCCGCGAATCTCTCGTCCGCCGCGCGTGGCCAGGCGCGCCCGCGGCGATCGCCGAGGGCATGCGCGCCCCCTGCTTGAAGAACTCGCGCGAGGGATCGAGCTCGTCGAAGTTCGCAGGCTTCTGTTTTGACGCGGACAGAACAGGCCAAGTCCACGCAGCGGACCCCCTGGAAGGGCCAAATCGGTCATTCGGGGCGCTGGTCAAAAACTCCGCCACCGCGGGTGAAGCCTCATCGAGGGCAGGCGCGAAAGTCCACTTCGCGCACTCTTCCCTGCGCGCCTGGACTTTCGGGCGGAAGCTCGCCGGCGGGGACCCCTGCCCCAGGAGCAGGACGTTCGCAGCGAGGTAGGGGCGCTCACCGACATCTCTGCCGCCCCCACCTCGCAGGCCCCCATTGCCGAGGAGTGGCCCTCAGGGCCGCCGGGGCCCGCCAACCCGAGCGCAGACATGCCTCGGCGCGCCCGAACACCTGAGCAGGGGCCCGCGCGACATATTCCGCGCGAGCCCATTCGGGCTACGCTTTCGCGCCCCCGTTGCCAGCGGCGCCACGCTGCCAGATTGACCCTGTGGCCGCGCGCTCGCAATTCAGGCACCGCGCAGAAAACCGCCGCGTCGATGTCGCCGCAGAAGATTGCAGGGCGGAGCCTGCCAAGTATCGCGCTAGCAAATCCCGTGAACGTTCGAGCACCTCCACGCCACCGCGGAGGTCGCGCTTCGCCGCCCTGCAATTCACACGCGCGTTCGCCAAACGGAGCTCATCCGCGCCCCGGTCGCCGCTGCCGCCCACCCCGCCACCGCGGGTTCTCCGGGGCCGCATCTTTGCAGATGCGATCGTGATCCTGCTTGCCGCGGTCTTCGTGGCCCGTTCTTTCGCCTTGCTTGGCTGGGCGATGGAGCACGTTCCATCACTCGCCCAGTGGAACACTAGTGGTCGCATCCCCATGACCACGGACTGCATTCCGAAGCTCAGAATGGCGAATTCGGCATCCGCGCCTGCATCTCCAACGAACTTGGACACAGGGCGCCCCATGACCACGGAGGCGGGCCCGGGCGTCCCAGGGCCTTCGCGCAAGAACTTCAGCAGGCCAGGCGAGGCTTCCTGAAAGTCCAGGAATGCGCGCGGGCCCATTTGGCAGCGAACACAAAGTGGGCGAGCTTCCGCGGTCATCATCATCATCTCCACGGCCATGGAGCCGAATTAATTAACTGCCAGGCGAGCATGCTTGAGCCGCAAAAGCCCAGCTGCGGCCGCAACAGTCACCGCGCTGAAATGCACGCGGGGGAAAGCGAGGGCGCGCGGGGGGGGCGGCGGGAAGGGCGGGGCCCGAGGGGGGGGGGGGGGGGGAAGCGTGGAGACGGCGGTGGATTGCGCTGGAGGGGCGCGTCGCTGTCGCCGCCCCGCCCAAACGGAGCCCCGCCGCTTCCGCGCCCGACCGCCCCGCGCCCGAACTAGCAGGAGGAGGGCGAGGAGGGGCGAGGAGGGGGGGGGGGGGGCAGAACGAGGTGGGGGGGGAGATGGAAATAGAGGGCGACGGCGACGACGGGGGCGAGGCGGCACATTTGACGAGAAGAGGAGGCGCGCGCACATAGAATGGCAACATTTTCTCGAAGACAGCCCCGAGGCAAGCTGCGTTCGCAAATATCCGGGCACCCTGCCATCACGCGGAAACAGCCTAGAAACGACAGCGGCGCCACCGCCACCGCGGAGCCATTAAACGCGCCCAAGCCGCAGCAACGCCAAGGCGGGCACATCTCCCAACGCACGTCTCGTCTCATTGCGCATGCATGCAGAAAGCGCGTCTTTTCGACCATCTGCCAATTTGCCGACCAAAATTTGAACAATCTCTGCAAACAGCTGCCCCCAATCCCCCCGTGGGTCGCAGCCATCTCGCTGTCCTATTGGGCCTTGAAGAAGTCCCAGTGGCTCGCTTACTCAGGCGACAAGTCATCGGCTCTCCGAAGACTTTACAATACTTGCAAGAGCGCTTTGCAATTGGACCGGCTTGCACCACCTTTCTTTCATTGACCCAACATGTCCAAGGAAACGCTCTCATTTGCTCCATCGCCGCCACCGCTGCTTCTGCCCGCCCACTGTCAGGCGTGCAAAGTCAGAGCCGACGACATTTAATCCTGTGCGTACGCCTGCGTGTTGTTTTGATTGTTTGGTGTTTTGTGATGTGCAGTCCGGTGTTTGTTGTTGAATGTCCGCGTATTGCTTGGGTAGTGTGCGCGTCTGTTTTGCGCGCGCGCGTTTCTGCGCTGTTCCCCGCCGGACAAGTTTTTCTATTTATTTGTTTAAAGGAAGAAAAAACTGGCCACCCCCGCCAAGCACGCCGCTGCCGCCAGACCCCAAGTTGCCCCGAGCGCCCCGGCCACCCCGCCCCGCGCCCTCGACAAAAACAACAGAACACCCTGCGCGCCGCGGCCGCCAGGCCCGAAATTGCCCCGAGCGCCCCGGTTACCCCGCCTCGCGCCCTCGACAAACATGACAGAACAGACCCTGCACGCCGCGGCCGCCAGACCCCCGAGCGCCCCGAGCGCCCCGGCCACCCCGCCTCGCGCCCTCGACAAACACAACAGAACACGCCCTGCACACCGCGGCCGCCAGAACCCACATTGCCCCGAGAATCCCGGGCGCCCCGCCTCGCGCCCTCGACGAACACGACAGAACACGACATGGCGCAACAGAACGCGACAGAACGGAGGAAGAGCATGACAGAACACGGCAGAGCATAACACATCACTATCATGACAAAATGGAGGACACCAGCATATCACAAGCAGAAAATGACAAAACATAATTGCTGCGTTGTTCGCGCGCGCGCGCGCCGCGACGGACCGGGCGGGCGCGCAGGGGAGGGCGACGAAGAAGAGAGGAGGGGAGGTCTGATACAAAAGCCTCGAGGGCCACCCCCGGGGGGGAACGGGTGACGGAGGCCGGGGGCGGGGAGCGGCTGAGGATTGAAAAAGGGGCGCGAAGGATAAAAGCGGGGAAAGAACGCGAGCGCGCGCCGAGAAGCAGAAGCGGAGAGAAAGGAAGTTCTGCGGTTGATAACACACAGAACAGGGCGAGGTTGATGACTAATCCAAGGCCCTTTGCACGCGCGGCCACTGCTCTTTGCGAACCTTTGTGGGCGTCTCTGTGGGCCCCTTCAACTTCTGTTTCGCTCGCTCTGCTCCCCTCCTCATCGCCGTGTGCTTTTGAAATTCACGCCTGGCGCGGCGAGCGTCGGCCTCTTCGCCCTTTTACGCCGCGCGCGCATTCGCGCGCGCTCCCGCGGCCCCCTGGGCAAGCGCCTTCATTCGATTGCTTTCGCCGCGAGTGGCACTCGCCACAGCTCCTGCCAAACAAGCACGCACCTGACGATGCGCATTGTTGGGGATCTCTAAGGCTTCGCGTAGAGACCTCATCCTGGACGACTCCAGGATGACACGCTCAATGTGCTGGTCTGCCAATTCCACGGATGGCAGGGCTTCTTCTTGCACGCCGCCATCGCCGCGGCTTCTCGGGCCGACTTCACCCGTCGAACGCGTGCGCGGCGCTTCCTCTGGATGCGCCCAATCTCCGGGATCGAACTCCATAATCCCGTTGCCGAGACAGTCGTCATCGTCGCCCCCTCCCGCTTCCGTTTCTCCTTCCTTTCGGGCCTCGTCGCATCGGACTTATCTGTCTGGGCTGGGGTTACTCTCATCTGCATGGCCTATGCGTAACTCATCAAGGTGGCCCCTTAGGGCGCCGAGCGATGAGTGACTGCGCTGTCTGGTGCGCCCAGGAGAAAGGCCGGCGGCGCTTCTCCGACGAGTCCGCCACCGCGGAGTCAACGCGGCTTCGCGCGCCCAACTCATCGCAGAAGTCCCTTGCCTCTCTGCGGATCCCATCATATTCGGATCCGCCCTAGGCAACCGCCGCGCCCGTGAGCTCGCGCCCTCTACGCGCCCGTAAATGGAGAGCCATGTCGGGCGGACCTGCGCCGCGATGCCGATGTTATCCTCTGTCGTCATGTCCACCATCCCGCCGCCAGCGAGTCCGCCGCAAGCAGTTCGCAAGCGTCGCTGGACAAGTCCGAGCGGGAGCGGAGCCGGCCCCCCCCCCCCCCCCCCCCCCCCCCCCGCGAGCAACGGGGGCGCACCCGCGATTCCAACGCAAGCGCTGCGCATTATCTGCGAGCCCTGGCGCGCGCGCGCGCGTCTAACAGGAACAACGCCCATCGTCTGCCAGGGCCCCGCGGCAACAGCCACTCGCCCAGGAAATTCGCAAGCACCTCGCGGGGGCAGAGGCCCGCGGACGAGAGCCGCGGCAGAGGGCCGCCGTGGAGGGCGGTTGCGGAGGAGGAGGGGCGGGGGGGCGCCATTGACGAGGGCTCCACGGGAGGGCAGCGCCTGAAGCCGCGGGGGCGGAGGGGGGGCGGGCGGGCGGGGGGGGCGGGCAGAACTCAGGGGCCACCGCGGGGCAGGGAGGGGCCAGTAGAATTCAAGATGTCGCGCTCTCTGCGCGAGCCGCTCGGCCCCGCCACCGCGGAGAGCTTGCGCGGCAGCTGCTTCGATACCACGCGCGCTTTCAATTAGGGCTCCGACAGTTTAACTTCTGCCTTGGGCATCAAGTTGCAGCCTGGCGCTTGTTGCAGCATTCTTGCCTTGCAGGAATATGTGACCGAATGCAGGCCCCGCCGCCCCCCCGTCGCCGCATGGCTCTCGATTAATGGAACAGTGGGCGCGCCCCGGATGGCGGGCGCGTTGCGCTCAACGCCTCCTGCCTCGCCCATGTGGGACGGGCGTCGGCCGATGCTCCGCGCGCACTGGCCGCGCCCGAAATGCAGTGCCATCACCTCGCGCAAGGCCGTCACCACGACCCAAACCATCGACGACCGTTCCCCGCGCGCGGCACCTTAAATGCACGGTTCGACCTCCTCGAAGAGATCTTGCATTCCGCCACCCAGCCACGCAACCACTCACGAACGATTTGCACTGCCTCTGGCCCCATCTCCCGCTTTCACGCAAGAAGCGATTTTTTGTCTGTTGTAATTGAACCGCTTTCATCAGCAAACACTGCTTTGGGAAACGGCACATGGTCTCACCGCCCGCGCCGCGGCGCACGATGCTGCGTCATTCGGCCAATTCCCCCCGCAAAGTTCGGCGAGACCTGCGCCTGCCAGCGCCCGACGCCATGCGTCGCTGACGCGCGCGAACCGCGCGGTCGCTGCGATGTTCCAATTGAGCACCCAGTCGGGAAGGCCCCTTCTGCATCGCGCCCGCAGACTCACCAGCATCCCCAGCTACCGAGAGCTCATCCATCCCGTCTGCGGCCACCGCCGCTACCGCGGTCTGCTGGAAAACGCTCACGGCGCGCTGGCATAACATCCGAATATTCACGAATTGCTCCCCCTCTCATCAACATCGACGTCAACATCATAATTATTATCCTCACATCATCATCCTCAACATCGTCATCCTCGTCATCAACATCATCAGTATCATCATCATCATCATCATCAGCAGCAGCAGCAGCACCATCATCATCATCATCAGCATCAGCATCAGCATCAGCATCAGCATCAGCATCAGCATCATCATCATCATCATCAGCATCAGCATCATCATCATCATCACCATCATCATCATCAGTATCATCATCATCACCATCATCATCATCATCATCATCATCATCATCATCATCAGGGTCATCATCATCAGCAGCAGCATCATCATCATCATCTTCACCCTCATCATCATCACCATCATCACATCCCTGTGAAACATCAAAAGTACTCCTCCTCTCCGTCGTAACACCTCCTCATCCACCTCCTCTCCACCTCCACATGTTCCTCCCCACGTTCCTCGCCACGTCCTGATCCACACCGTCATCAGCATCATCAACAAAGACATCATCAACCTAACCAGCGGCAACATCGCCAAAGTACCCGTCACAAATTTCATCATCACTATCTGTTTCATCGTCGGCATCGCCACCATGGCCATCATCATGGCCAGCACCGTCGTCACCACCATCATTCGCATCAGCATCCCTCCCTCCCCCCTCCCTCCCTCCAGGAGAGCCAAGAAGCGAATCGATAAGTCAGATCGGCGATCGACATGAATCGGATCGGCGGAATTCGGCAGACGAGTCGGGAGAAGTCGAATCGGCGGAAATCGGCGGGCTGGTGTACCTCCAAAAAAAAGTCCGAGCCCTGATCGGAACCCCAAATCGGATCGAATCGAAATCAGAAGCCGTCGAAATCGAAGCGAACCGAATCGCGGAGAAGTCGACGTGAGCCCTGCCCTCCCTCCCTCCTACCCTTTGGGCGACCCGATAAGGAGGTCCAACTGAAAGGGGGTGGCGCAATGGATTTGGGGCAAGGAGGAAGAGGAGGAGGAGGAGGAGAATGTACTGCGCCGGAGTATTGTTCTGCATGGTATTGCTAGTACATTGCGCGCGAGGATGCAGCAACAAATTTCCGCGCCCCAGAGTGTACCGCACGCCCCACATTTATTGCAGCCCCACAAATCCGTTGCACCAGCTCTACTGCACCACCCCCTTGTCGCTGGACCCCCTCTGGGGTCAACCCGATTCCCTCCCCCTCCCTGCCTCCCCCCCTCTCCCGCCCCTCCCCGAGCCCTTCTCCTAGAATGCCCCCCCCCCCGAGCCCGCCCGCCGCCCCCCGTCGCGAGCCACACGGCGGCCGTGCGCCGCTGGCAGCCATACTCGCGCACGGGTGCTGCAGGAAGCGCGAGACCAGCAGTGGGACGCACAGAAGCATACGAATACTATGGATGCCACGAGAATGGACACCCTAACAGTCCCATCATCGAATTAAACATGTGTTTAGAATGTAGGGAAATGTATTGAAATTGTTTAAAACATGTGCTTTACATGTTTAAAACAATGTTAACACATGTTCTAAGACATCTGGAAATGATTTGGCGGCACGCTTCCTCTCCATTGATAGACTTCCACAATACTCATACTAGTTGTCCTCCTTGGAGGCGCGCATCTTGTAGCATATTGTTTCCCGAAAGCGCCCGCCACGACGCATATGTTACAATATCTCTCGGTGCGCGCGTCGCCCCTGGGGGGGGCGACGCACACATAGTAATAGGATGTTGGGGTGACGCCCAGGGGTCCCAGGGGCCGAGGGGCCCAGCAGAAGCCCCAGCGGCCCGGAAATTGCAAAAAGCGATGTCGTCGCGAATTCTGTTGACGACGCGACCATGGCATGAGGAAGAAGGGGTGGCAGAGGAGAAGACGAGAGGGAGAACTCCCACCCCCCTCCTGCGGCGAAGCATGCCAGCGCGCTGTCACCCAGCTTGTAGCAGAACCTGCCCCCGTTGGCCGCTGGGGACGCAACCCACCCGCCCCCTCGTCAGCCATGGCCGTCGCCATAGCCACCGCAGCTGCTGCTGCTGCTGCTGCTGCTGCTGCTGCTGCTGCTGCTGCTGCTGCGGCTGCGGCTGCTGCCGCTGATGCTGCTGCTGCTCCTCCTCCCCCTCCTTTTCCTCCTCCTCATCGTCCTCCTCATCCTCGTCCTCCTCCTCCTCCTCCTTCTCCTCCTCCTTCTCCTCCTCCTCCTGGCCCTCCACTTCTTCCTTGCTCCGCTCCCCACTTCATTCCTGCCTCCTCCTCCTCCTCCTCCTCCTCCTCCTCCTCCTCCTCCTCCTCCTGCGAGCTGGGAGCTGGGAGTTGGTCGCAAGTGTCTCCACTTCCTCCTCCTCATCCTCCTGCTCCTCGTGCCCCTCATCCTCCCGCTGCTGCTGCTGCTGCTCCTCCTCCACCTCCTCCTCTTCACTTCCCTCATTCACGTCCTCGCCGTCCAAATCCAAAAGAGAAACATGGCACCTCCACTCATCAACGCTGCTTCCTTAACCGACCAGTGCAAGAGGAGGTGGAGTCTAGTCCTGAAAAGGGATGGGGTTGTGGAGCGGAGGTGCCACGGCCCTCCGCCATCCTCCCTCCCTCCTCCTCCCTCCTCCTCCGTCCTCCTCCCCCAATTCCTCTCCTCCTCCTGCTCCTATCCGACAACATCTGCAAGGGCAGCTAAGTTCGCGCTTCGCGCTGCGCGAAGCGCGAATGAACTTGTGAGCTTCGCTCCCTCGCGCCGCCCCCCTGGGCACGAAGTTAAGCTGCGCTTGGCACTTCGCCCTCTCGAGCACTCCACCCGGGGAGGAGGACGAGGAGGACGAGGAGTGTTATTCGCGCCCACGTGGCGGCCCTTTCTGTTGCCAGCAGGGGCCATTGACCTCTCAAACTACAGCGGCCCCGAGGGCAAGACCGCCGCGCCCTGACGGGGCCAGGAGACGCAGCCAGGAGTGCGCGACGGGGAGTTGTACATGAACACCGCCCGGGGGGATCGATCTTGGTGGATCTCGGCAGGCGGTGGATATGGATATACTTGGCCTCCCCAAGGCCCGAACATATATATATATATATATATATATATATATATGTATATGTATATATATACATATACATATTCATATACATATGTGTATATATATACATATACATACATATACATATATGTATCCAGATCCACCGCCTGCCGAGGTCCCGAAGCTCGATTCACCCAGGTGGTGGTTATGGGTAGCTCCCCGCCTCGGAAGGAGGGGCCCTCCGCAGCCCATGCGATGGCCCAGAGACACGGCCGACTCCGGCGCCACCCTGGTGAGGCCGGCCAGGGGCCCCCGACCTGGGATTCCTGCTCCCGGGCCGGGTGCTGCCAGGAGGTGTCTCTGCCCCCTGGCCCACGGGGTGCCCCCAAGAATTCCCAGGGAGCCCCCACGGCCTCGGGAGCACCCGTCACGAGCCCTGACGTCCATGCGCTGTGAAACTGACACGACGTGACGGGATCTGGCCAAGATTACGTCATTGGTCTGAGTCCCGGGTGCTGGTCGACGTGAGGTCGGTGAAGTGGTGCTCGAGCTCTGTCCATGCTTCGGTGTCTTGGGCTGTTTGCGTCCATGTGATGTCGTCCGGTTGTCCTGTCGAATGGGCTTGTGTGGGCGGTCGGTGGAGGTCTGGTCTGCGTTGACGTAGGTAAGTGGTGACTTCGTCGTCCCAGCGCTTGTTTTGGCCACCGTGCTGCCTGTGTCCCCGCTGGCGCGGGTTGAGGACTGGGTGCCAGCGCAGCACTCGCCATGTCCACCTCGCCCAGTCGTGGTTTGCGACTCGTGAAGCCACGCGCCACACTTTCCGTTCGCGCAGCGTCTCCCAACTGTCGATGCGGCGGAGCTTCATGAGGTGATCTGCGCGTCGTGTCGCTCGCTGGATGTAGTCGACCCATGGTTCCATTTCGTCTGCGGTGGTGCTGTCTTCGCCGTCTTCGCTGTGCTTGTCAGGCGTGTCAGGTGCATCACGCTGTGATGGGTTGCTGCCTGCGTCTTCGCTCTTGCTGTTGGTGCGGTTTTCGTGGTCTTGTGCTCCTTTGTTCGCGCCGTCGAGATTAGGCCCCTGGCCGCTGCGAGGGCCAACTTATTTTGTTGTGCGTTTCCGTGGCGTTATGATGATCATGCGAAGCATGCGTCGTTGTGTCCGTCGTAGACGCTGCCGTAGAGGCTCCGTGAGGGTCCAAATATCTGCTCCGTATAACGCTGTTGGTGCTACAGTGCTGTTGAAAAACCGGAGTCGGTGAGCCAGTGGGTAGTGTTTGCTGGTCAGCTCTTGCTTACGAGACGCGAATGATGCCCATGCAGCTCGCGTGCGGTGGTGGATTTCCGTTTCCATTGGTTCGTGGAAGATGATCAATTGGCCGAGGTATTTGATATTGCCCTCGTATGGAACGATTTCTAGATCCATGTCCTGGAAAAGTGCTGAGCGTGAGATCGCCCTTCCGGTCCTTCTCGTCTGGTTGCTCAGTATTTTGGTTTTGCTTGGGTGTAGGTCGAGCCCGTGTAGCCTCGTCGCGCGCACAATGTCGTCAAGCAACGCTGTCAGGCGCGGGAGAGTTTAGCTGGTCAGGAGCACGTCGTCGGCGAAGCGTACGTTGGTCAGCGTGGCTGTGCTCGTGAATCCCCATTCAACTCCCTTCCTTGTTTGCTGCCATTCGGAAACCAGCGGTCCAAGGATGTATTGTAGAAGAGCGCTGAAGAGTAGGAAGCTGAGTGGGTCTCCCTGCTTCGTGCCCCGCAGGAGGCTAAAGGGTCTGCTGACGTCTGTCCTCACCGTGGCTGTCTGTCCCTCACAGAGCTGTTGGAGAAGTGCGACGCATCCAGGTTGGACCCCTTGTGCCTTCAGTGCTGCCCATATGCTCTTGTGCTCAAGTGAATCGAGAGCTTGTTTGAAGTCAAGTGCTGCGACCCAGAGGTTTTGGCTCCATTCGTTTGCGCGCTCGCGCAATCAATGGAAGGTAAAGAGGTGGTCAGTGGTCGAGTGGCCTGGTCTGAAGCCCGCCTGGTCGGCAGTCTGGTGTGAGTCAAGCGTCGGTTGTAGCCTGTTGTACAGTAGTCGGCGGAAGAGCTTGTACAATAATGGCATCGTGCAAGTGGGGCGGTAGTTTTGTGGAAGCGCGAGATCTCCACTTTCTGGTATGACTGTGATGACTGTGCTCTTCCAGCAGGCCGGCGGCGGGCTTCGCGCTGCAGGATCGTGTTGTAGAGGTGGAGAATTGCACCTCTGAGTTCCTCTGTGCCTTCTTTGAGCATCTCTGCGCGGAGGCCTTTCGTGTCTGGGGCTTTACCAAGCCGGAGACCTTTGATCGCCTTGTTTAGCTCTTTCGGTGTGAAGGGTTGGTGGGAGTCGGTAAGTCTGCTGGTCGCTTGTCGGTCGTAGGTCTGCCAGTCTGTTGACCGGCGGGCGGGGGTCGGTCTGTTAGTAGGGGTTGCTAGCGAGGGCTCGCCCTGGCTAGTGGCTAGTGGCCCACGCAAGGACGAATTGGCTGCCCGGGTTAGGGGTAGCACGCGGGGAGGGCTTCCAATGCATGCCAACGCATGCTAAGGCATGCCATTGCATGCCAATGCATGCCAACGCATGCCGATGCATACCAACGCATGCCAGAGCATACCAACGCACGCACGCATGCCAACTCATGCCAATGCATGCCAATGCATGCCAATGCATGCCACTGCAGGCCAACGCATGCCAACGCATGCCAAGCGCATGCCAACGCATGCCAACGCATGCCAATGCATGCCAACGCATGCCAACGCATGCCAACGCATGCCAATGCATGCCAATGCACGTCCAACGCATGCCAATGCATGCCAAAGCGTGCCAATGCATGCACACGCATGCCAACGCATGCCAACGCATACCAATACATGCGAACGCATGCCAATCCATGCCAACGCATGCCAATGCATGCCAACGCATGCCAACGCATACCAACGCATGCCATAGTACGCCAACGCATGCCAAGGCATGCCAAGGCACGCACGCCAATGCATGTCAATGCATTCCAAGGCATGCCAACGCATGTCAATGCATGCCAACGCATGCCAATGCGTGCCATAGAACGCCAACGCATGCCAATGCGTGCCAGTGCATGCCAACGCATGCCAACGCATGCCAATGCATGCCAATGCATGCCAATGTATCCGAACGCATGACAATGCATGCCAATGCATGCCAATGCATGCCAATGCATGCCATTGCATGCCAACGCATGCCAATGCATGCCAGTGCATGCGGACACATGCCAATGCATGCCAACGCATGCCAACGCATGTACACGCATGCCAACGCATGCCGCTGCATGCCAACGCATGCCAATGTATGCCAACGCATGCCAATGCATGCCAACGCATGCTAATGCATGCCACGGTGAGGGTAGCGCGTGCGGAGAAAAGAGTTGACTACCCGGGTTAGGGGTAGCACACGGGGAGGGCTGCCCTGTTAGGGGTAGCATTTGGAGCGGGAAGATGAGGGGTCAACACATGAAGGGCCAATGCCCCAGCATGAGGGGGTCAACGCATGAGGGGCCAGCCGAGGCCCCAGCATGAGGGGTCAGGGCATGAGAGGCCGAAGCCCCGGCATGAGGGGTCAACGCATGAAGGGCCAATGACCCAGCATGAGGGGGTCAACGCATGAGGGGCCAGCCAAGGCCCCAACATGAGGGGTCATGGCATGAGGGACCGAAGCCCCAGCATGGGGGGTCAACGCATGAGTTGCCAATGCCCCAGCATGAGGGGGTCAACGCATGAGGGGCCAGCTAAGGCCCGAGCATGAGGGGTCAGCGCATGAGGGGCCCAAGCCCTGGCATGAGGGGTCAGCGCATGAAGGATGAAGGGCCAAAGCCCCAGCATGAGGGGGTCAACGCATGAGGGGCCAGCCGTGGCCCCAGTTTGAGTGGGTCAACGCATGAGGGGCCAATGCCCGGGCATGAGGG